TGATATAAACAGGAAGTGTCGAATAAAATCTTTACTTTTTGATTGAGAAATGGTGGGTAAAATATGAAATCACAACTTTTTTAGCTTGGATTTGTTCCTTCTTTTGATTAGATTTTGTTTAGATTTCTGATCCTTATCCAGAATTCCCAGCAGGTATGGTCTAGAAGAAAATTACCCAAAATTTTGTTTACGAGTACTGTAAATATATATTTTTAACTATTCTACTAGAAACAATGCAAATATTCATAGCAAAAGAAAGCAGAGCCCTCTGGCAAAGATTTATTTTTTAAGAAAAGAGCTAAAGTCCACCAAAATCAAGAGCGCAACTTTTTCCCCAGCTCCTTCACCTCAAACTATTTTGGTGCTCAGGCTCAGCTGGCATTGTGCGTCGTCATCATATTTTATTGTTGTTTTGAAGCTTAGAATGAATAAAAGGGTAATTGGAGAAGGCACTTAGAACATTGGCTAAGGGGTTTAAGGCCTCGTACAGGCAGTTATGAATTGACGAGTGATGTCATAGGAGGTGAACATCTGTGTCTGATTAGATCCAAATGGGTTATGAGGTGGGGGGTGGTTGGGGAAAGGGTAGGGTAAGGGCAAGGGGAGAAGTGGGAGGAAAGAAGGGGGATTGCGAATATTATAGTCAAATATTCAGTTTTTGGGTGTATTGTTGGGTAATATGAATGTTTTGGGTACGAAAAAGAGAAATTATTTTTTATACCTTTATCTCTTTTCCTCTTGTTTCAAGCAGGATCACTAGAGGACTTTCCACCATCGTCCCTGCTGCAGTTTTTCTATTCTTAGCTTTAAAGGGCTAAAGACTGCTCCATATCCTTTACCAAAACGATTATCAACCTTTCAAACTTCTTTATAAACCAAAAATCTTAAATATTTACCTTCGAAGAACGAATGTTTTCGTTCTAAGCCCTTTGTTTACACTCTGTCAACCTCACAATCAAGCACTTCCTGCTCATTTTTATTTGCTCATTTTGTTTTCTCATCAATGAATTTGTGAGTCTATAGGCTGGACAATAGGTGACATCATGGATCTTGCAATAACAATTTTGTTATTTTTATACGTCATGGAAACAATACAAAACATCTGTTATGAATTTCTGAGAAACGTGGGTGGCAGATGTCTACATCAAAATGGACTCTCAAGGCTGTATACTTCTAGGACTTTAATTCATTCTTTATGAGCTTATTCCTTGCCTGTGGCTTTTATTGAAAGGCGAGCTGCTTCTATTCGGATATTAGGCAACGCTTTCTCTATCTTCCCGAATAAATTCTTTAACAATTTTTGAATTGAATCTAAAAAAAATCTTCAAATTATTTTAATTATTCCGAAGTCTAAAGAAGTAATTTCCTCAAAGAATTTTTATAACTCATGTGAGGAATTTTGAAAAATTTCGCTATCCATTTTTGGGGAGAGGGTGTCCCTCCCCTTTGGGTAACCTAAATCTATAATTCCTTCTTTTGACTGTAGTCAGCTCTAAGATATTTATGTCGTAAATTCGAATAAAAAAACATTCTGCGCTCGGTTTGCATACGTTGGAAAATTTATAGTAATGAGAACATGAAGGAAATTAATCTGTTTTCATTTGTATAGAATTTCAAAACAGTGAAAAGTAAAAAAGCTTCACCAAACATTTTTTTATCAAAATGCAAGAATCCGTTATAAATCTCATCAATTTTTTTCAAACGGGACTTTGATGATTCGCTCATCTGATTTCCTCTCCCTTCTGCAAATATGCAAATTACATTAGGTTGTTCCAAAAATAAACCCATGTTTAAATAAACCAAATTTTTGTCTTCCTAGCAGAAGTTGGGTACCATTCGATAGAGCGAATCAAGCTCTACAAAGTGAACTCCAGAAATCTACCTAAGTCGTAATCCAGGTAAAATGGAGCCGAAAAAGAATTTTGCAACTACCCTAAAAATCGGATCTCCTTCCAGATTCCAACGGACCTGCACTTGGTCATCTCGGTGTAAACACATAATGATACTAAAAAATGCATCTGCCAGATTTTTTTCCGGAGCCCAGTATTGAGCAATAAAGGTAGCCCGAAAAGCAAAAGATGTCGTTTCTTTTAGGTTTTCTATGTTAAAACTAATTTTTTCGATTATTGGGGCACTTACATACAATTACATTATACAGAGGTATAATCGTGGGTTAAGGTTTGCAGTATACAACCACCACGCGGGAGGAGCTGGGGGCGGAGTGTGAAATAATTGGACTATCTTCTTTCTCAATTTTTATGGATTAGGCAAATGCATTTATGACTATTATTATGTGTATAAAAAATGATGATCAAGTTGAAAGTGCTCAGGAATTTTTCACAATGAGATCCGATTTTTAGATCATTTGAAAAATTTTATACTTTGGCTTCAAAATTTTACCTAAATTACGACTTGGGTGGATCTTTGGTGGTCCGATTGATACCTTAGATCTGCTAGAAAACCAAAAAAATCACCTGATAAGTCTGAAAAGTTGGTTGTAGGTTGTCTCAAAAGTGGTTTACTTTTGGAACAACCTATTAGATTGTGGATAACTTGAAAAATCCCTCTCAACTATGATTGTTTTTCTACTGTGTTGAATTCACATTGATGAGAGAATTTTGGTGTCTCAGTCTACGAAGTTCATACAATTTACTCCAGTCATAGTAAACAGACAAATTGTTTGATGTTGTTTGTCCTTATCACGCAATGCCAAGCACTTTCGTTAAAAAAATACTTGTGACAGACAAAAAAGAAAAACTCTGGAATTGCGCTCGCTACTACCCGTGTATATATACTTATGTTTATCTATAACCGAAAGTTGAGAAATTTGAAATAAAAAATATCTACAAAGTTGCTACATGATTTTTCAAAAAAAATTCTAAAACTGAAGAAATAAAGAAAAATGAATGATTCCTTTTCTCACAGTAGTGTTGTTTTTGTTTTTTCTAATGTTTTTAGCCAAATCTCATAGAAATTTTGGCTGTGGTCGGAACCTTCTACTTCGGCTTTAGGTAGCCATAAATGTAAAAATTGAGGAACTACTTAAACGAAAAAAATTTTACTATATAAAGATTCTGTTTATATGATCATAGAATGAAATAGAAAAGGGAATAAAAACTTACTACCAAAAGAGAGAGGCTCCGGATCTTTCCAAGTAGGGTAATAAATACAACATGAATGCTTCGAGTTTCCCAAAATAAGTTCTTCCAGAAGATAGATTTCTGAGTAAAGGGATAATTTTCTAAAGGTCGGCAATTTTCCGAGGTGCAAGTCGCCCATCGACTCTGACGTAGCCAACCGCCTTTGCCTTTGTACTACGCGTCCCCGAAACTCGGTTTGTCCAAAAATTGTTTTTTGCCCACTCGTTCCCGAAAATAGCCCCACATTTTGGTCAGCTGGATTTCTTCTCAATAGCAGTTCATTAGACCAGCGAACCCCGCCTCGTTTGTCACTTAGCAAAAAACACACGCCGAGCGGTCGTTAGCCTCTAAGCCCCTACCGTATTCCTTGAAGTTTGGCTATGATGTATTCTTCTGGAGTTACTTCCGCTGATTTAATATTCTGCTCTCGAAGGCTTTCACTATTCGTGCCTATAGATGGTAAGGAATAAGTTCGACATCTTTGGAAAAAAGTTTTTAGAGGTTAGGGAAAGAATAAGGAAGGTATTGTTGACGATATTATAGCTATTGTTTTGAATAAAAATAGTAAAAAAAATCATGTTCTCGGAAGACTTGGCTTTTCTGAGGGGCGATACTAAATCGTAACATCACTCTAGTTATATTTTCTTTGTTCCCCTTTAAAAAATGTTGAAAATTTCGGCAAAACCCCATATTTACCATTTATGAGGGTGAAACGAAGATTTATCCATTTTCATCATTTTGACAGTCATGGATATGAGTTACAAAAAAGTTCCAGTAGACATAAGGAAAATAATTTTAATGGCCTTTTAAACTCAATCCCTTCATTTTCCAGAATCTCACTTTTTTCTTCTTCCTTTTTGAAATTACAACAAATTTCTGGGAACACCAATGCTAACACTAAACGCAGAGGTTTATTCTCTCAAAGTTAAGTTAAAAATACCGCACAATTTTTAAAAAATTGCAAATTGATTTTTCTTGGTGATATGTTTATATGAAAAGCTACAAAATCACTAGCTGGATAATGGAGCAAAAATTTTCAATCAAACTATAAAGATTTTTATTTGTGGACTTACCTATGTACCAAAAATAGCTCTTGACTGCTTCTTCATCTTGTTTGCTTTTTTGAAAAAAATCTCTCATTCCACTTCAAATTTCAAAAGACTACCTTTGTCGGGTTGAAGTACAGTCTTATAAATCTGGCTATGTCCTCTAGAACATTTATATATTCCTTTGAAAGTGCATTTGAAACCTTATCATTCTCCACTTGCGTTCAGGTTTCGGTCAAACTACAAGGTTCTTTTTCGTAAATACCTAGTAAAGAAGGAGTCTCCTGTATACTTTTTGTATGTAAGCCCGTTCCTTTTCAAATTGGATTCTATCCTTGAAAAATTGATATTTTTTCTATTTTTTCTATTTACAAGGTTCTAGGATAGTTTGTAAGGTTCCATGTGTTCTGCAAAAATTCTGCAATATTATTCAAAAATTCTGCTCCCAATTTAGCAGATGTAAGATGAGATTAAAGTTTTTCTGGAAATTTTTTTGACAACTAGAGCAGCCACAATTCCGTTGGGAAAATTATTGCTGCTTCAGTGAATTTGTGGTAAAAATAGAATATGAAAACTGCTATATTTATCCGTTACAAAGGATTATATATGAATCAAGATTTTACGAAATGTGCCAACATATGGGTAGATTACTACCAATTTCTCAAACAAACTCATTCTCTCCTCAGTTTTCCCTGAACTCTTTTTTTTTCAAATTTTCCTCTTTTTTCGCACTCTGTGCAGGCTAAGTACCTGGAATGAAGTGCACAAAACTATCACCGTAACCTACCCCCAAATTACAGCGTCCTTTTTTCAGAGAACTCGGACAGTGGGATGAGTTCACTGGAAAGTTCACCGTCCGATGCGGCCACGTCACGTTTTGCTCGTAAAAAATGGTCGTCAGCATTCCGTGTCGTTCAGGGTCTACATCGTTTTAAACTTCCGCTCGCTAAAAAACATGTGAGTCTTTCTAGATTTGAATTATTTTGAAAAATTTAGACTCAAAATGTTTTCGGTGCCGGTAGCTGGAAACCTTTGGGGCAATTTACTTCTTCAGCGCAATGATATGGTTTTTCTATGCAACATGGTTTTTTAAGTTGTGCCTCTTTCCTACCCCTCCCACAGCCTCCCCCCTCGACTCCCAATTCTATCCCCTTTATTCTCCTAATTTTCCTTCACCGCTAAGCAGGAGTTCATCTGGAACCAAGCAGTGAGCAGTTTACATAAAGCATAAAGTCGTGACCAAGAGCTGTGCAAAACTGAAAAGAATCAACCGGTTATAATCAAACAAGGTCAACATATTTGAAGCCAAGATTTGGTTTACGGTCTTGAGACAAATCATCTTCTACAAATCTAAAAATCAGACAAAAATTTTAACTCATTGACGACAGCGCGCAATTCTGCGTGGCAGCGTTATGGGACGACAAGATTTGCACAACACTTTCGGCGCGGGAAAGTTCTGTGATTGTTTACGGAATGTTTTATGAACAACTACAGCCATCTTCTTGAACGACGTAGTCTACAGGTTCCAAGAGTGCAAAAAAAATTGGAAAAAATGCTGAACTGTGGAAGAAATACGGCCAGAAAAGGATATCATTTTGCAAGGAATGTGAGCCACCGGTGGTCCACATCGTCGTAGTAAATTCTTCATAGTTGTTTTTTGCGGCCACATACCAGCAAAGACAATGAACAGGAAGTCGAAATTCAGGAAGCCTGGCTTTTACTAGTAGTGTATGTATTGTCGAGTCATAGGTAGCTTGATATGCGAGTCTGCACACAACGCGACGACACTAAAACCTTCACCTCCTCAGTAAAACCTTCAATTACGTAAAAACTGTAAAAGTGGTACTACTGATTAATACACCCAATCAAACAAAAAAGGAAAGAAACTGGCAGAAAGCACCGGTGGGAGCAGATCCCAATCATATAAGTTCGTCAAGTAACGCGCATAGTGTGCAGTACGCGTAATCACAAACAGGCGACTGGAGGATACCTTGGCGGAGAAAGGCATTACCCCATACAGGAGGCTTTCTCAAAACATATGCTTATTCTCATTCTAGAGAATATCTACAAAATATTTACAATATTCCTTACCAATATTCAAAAAAATGCATATGGTGGAGGGGTTTCATCAGGGAGCTGATCAAGAAATGAGTGATTTCAAAGTTATTCATTGATAAGTTTTGAGCAATTACTCGTCACTTTACTTAGTTGTCACAATTCCCAAAGGTTTTCCCGAATTAACCCCATAAGTCTAATTCAAAAAATAACTGAAATTCTTCTTTCATGCTGCTATGCAACACTTTTAGCACAGTTTGCTACATGAATCCTATGCTTCAGCGACTCTTCACAGCTTAATCCCTTCTCTCGCTCTTAATGCCTCACAAAGCGCTTTCTCGAAAGATTGGCATCACAATCTCAGCCTCTCTTTCTACTAATGAAGCGAAAAGCTTCAAGCATTTCTAGCTTTCTTTAAGTGACATTCTCGCCTCAGTATTCAGCCTTTGCTCGGCAAAGCGAAAAATTCGTCTAATTTAGCGAATTAGTCGCAACTATGTATGCGCGATCTCGTCTTCGTCATCTCAAGTTTACGGTGAGGAGATTGATATTCTTTTGGCTCGCCATCAAAATCAGGGTCCAGGCACAATAAAGGTTGCATACAAAGTCATTGCTCAAGCGACAGCTCATACGACCCAATAGTAGTCGAAAAAATCAACTTCAAACTTTCGCCCGTACCGTATCCTTTCACGGTTAGCGTAGTAGAGTATGGGCGAGGGTTCACAGTCGAATTTCGCCGACACGAGTGATTCATATGGGAGGCCATCTGGGCAATGGCTTAGTCAAGGCATGGGAAAATCAGATATCCAGGTTAACCGGAATTTCGCAATATGAGCATTGAAAATACTCAAATGTTGACTGCACCTACCCAGAACTTTATGAGTATAGCTACTGTATATAGCTCTGGAGCATTGTAATCTTTCCAAATCTGACGCCGAATGTGGAAAAGTCTTACCTTTGGTGAACATAGATAGCTGTGCTGGAGTTGAGTGTGTTCGTACATAAAGCCCCCCCCCCCTCCTCCCGCCTTATTCCAATTTCTACCCATTTATCCCTTTTTTATTAAGGATGAACGTATTTAGAAGCGCAGAGGCTATCTGGTACGACCATCCACCCTTTGTGAAGGAGAAAAAATCCGAAAAGCCTCCCAGGGTAAAGAATGTTGCCAAGCTGTCAGTCGGTGTTGCTTGCCAAGGATGTAGCCCTAGAATTTTGACCAAAAACTTATCAGTAAGGGAAAATTTCATTAGTCCTACAGGTCCATGGGCTTCTCCTACCCTTTCCCGTCTTCCCTTTTGAACAACCTTCCTATCTCGTGACGATTTGAAATTTCCAGAAGTAGTTGCTGATTTATTTTTTCTTGTATTTTACAAAGCAATATTCAGTACTTCGGTCACTGGCACTGAAAAACCCGAATCTTTCGCTTAGAACTTTCATGTTAGAGGACTCATGATTCCTCAGTCAGCCCGTGCCACCCTAGTAAAGAGTCACGGAAGTTGCAAGTTGATTGGGTTAATCATATGCGCATTTTTATGGCCTCTGTACGATAAAGCGTGGGTTGGGGAAGAGGGGAGATAGAGAAGAAATTTGAGCAAAAATTTTATTGCTCTTGTATGATTTCATCTGCAAAAGCTTTGAGGTGTCAGCAAATCTGTTCTTGCTATTTTGTAAATTTTGAAAACAAAATTTCTTGACTAGGTCATTTGGAGTTAGTCAGCTACCACCAAATTTCTTTTCGAATATAATCGGCTGTTTTTCACCTTTATTTCATATTAATTTTCATCAGGCTTCGAGAAGAACGTCCAAAAATCTGTGGAAAGGATGAAATTGAAAATCTATTAAAAGAACTTTGCAAAAGGAAGCAAAAACAGCTATTTCAACCCCTATGTTGCCTGAAATTAATTTTGCAGAGTCTGCCTTCTTCAAAAGAATATTTCGTTTTTAAATCCCCCCCCCCTTGACTGATTGTGGAAAAAAACTCGACAGTTGCACAAATTTGAAGCTTTAGCATCAAGTTGAGCTAAAACGGTCCAGACAGTTTTTTGCTTGTCAGAAGAGGACGAATGGGGCAATAGGGGAGATGATTAATAGGCTTTTTTTCCAAAATTGACATTTTCAACATTCCCCTTCACTGAAGTGACTGGAACGTGTGTAGGTGGCGAATGTTGACTCATTGAAATTAGCTGGAGTTAAATATATCCCAATGACTTCAGTCACAGCAATAAAAGTAATTGAAAACGGATAAGCAATAACAAGAAAGGAAATTGAGTTTTCGCCCACATAATTATTTGTCAGCTTATCCGCACTTTTGTGCAGAAGATAATTTTACATCTTGCAAATAATTCGTTGCTCGATGTATGAGAGATGTAGCGGAGTAAAATTTTGGAAAAAGCAGAAAAATTCTTCAAAGAAAAACAATTGTACAAGCTCGAGCAAAATTCACAAGGCCTAAAGATGATTTTGCAATCGCCCGCCCCCTCCTTCCCTTCCACCCTTCCGCTGGAAGAATTTCTACGAAAATGCAGAACCTGCAATGCAAATGTTTACTTTTCATCTATTGCCCATCCTTATGGGATATATTAAGAAAAGTAATAATCAACCTTTTGCAGATGGGCGCTCAAAAACACTGAAGCCTTTCCGCTTATTTGTCTTCGCTCACGTAGCAATCAGCAATTAAACAAACAAAATGCTCAATAACATGCTTATTGCGTCAAAGAATTTGAAACTATGATCTTTGATGTGCATTTTTGCGTAAAATCGCACACAAAGGCGCAGAGCACTCATACACAATCACTTGTAAGTTAACATGTGTAAGTGCACATCATGCACGGTACTCCACGACTTACACGAAAGTTTCCAGGAATTTCTTCTCGTTTTCTTTTCTTTCTGAGCTGAAGTAGCTAGAACGCGGTCTAAAAAACATTACGTTTAGTAGAATGTTTCATCAAAACTTTCATTACTGCTCGCTAAAATAGCCGTGTAGTGGAGCGCATGGTGTGCAATCTCACCACTTTTGAAATGACGCCATTAATGTTTTCCAACTATCATTTCGACTCTAGAGGCGTTGAATGTTTTTGTTTTGATGAACGATGACGATTGGAAGTTGTTGAACGGGTGCAATAATTCGACCTGAGAAATTAACGCATTTTTTGATTATCCAAGATTCTCATGGGTCCGGCCTGGAAAACTTATAGAAAGATCACAGCGTTGAGAAATAGTTTAGAAACTGAGAGCTTCTTATCGGATATGGTAGCTGATTAGTTCGCCTTTGTTTATATTCAAGACTTTCTCCCACTCACACCAGGCTATCTGGCTCGTTACATCGAAAATTCTCGAAATTGCTTGTTGACAGCGCAATCGAAATTAAAAAAGCGCAGCGTCTGGTCCATAAATAATTTTAATAGGCTGCATAGAGAAGTGATGCACTTCTACTTATCTTTAATTCCATAACATTCAATCATGTATGCATGACTTATTTTGTCTAATTATGTAAGAGAAAGTGCAATCAAATACACAAAAAAGGAAACAAAGATGGTCAATTTAGGACACTTTGTCCCTCTAAGAAACCTAGATTGTTGCCTCTTTTGAAACCCTGTGCAGCTTTTTCAAGCTTTTCCCCTACCTGAAAAGAGGAAGAATTTGTTGAAGACCCTGGCTGGGGGGGGGGAGGGGAGTGGAGCTCTAAGAAAAATGCCCACCGGCCTCTAATATCTTGGAAGACTACTTCAAGTAAGGAGGACATTTTGGAATTTTTTAAAATGCGTTTAGGATAATGTACAGAGCTAAACGCTAGTCGATATCGTTTAAAAATCATTCTTATTAGAGATACTCTAGGGGACTTTTGATTTAACGAGAACTGGTCCTTCCATCTTCTTGAGTCTTTCAGAAAAAAATTTTACAACCCGGAACAGTTTTCGCTTCTTCCACTAATCCAAGCAGAGTATATGAGTTTGATCTTATCATCTTTTCTCCTTTTATATCAGTGAAAGCAGGATTACAGTTCCTACATGAAGCAACCTTAATTTTTCTGTCTAGTGACGAACACGAGTTTAGTTTTTTGACTCTGTCCTTTAGATAATTCCATATATAATACGCGAGTGCGAACACCTAAAAGCCTAAAGGCAGTTTGGCTCAGGGACAAGTGCAAACAATGTACTGCTATTTATTCTGGGGAAGGAAAGTACACATGTGCAGGGTTTGGAAAAAATGGCGGTAATTTATGTTAAGGGGAAGTTGTAGCCAATAATGTTTGTCTTGGCATTGACCTTACCCCCTATAAAAGGCAAAATTTTCGTTAAAGGTATTTCTCTAGAAGCATTTGAAGATTTTTCAGCTCGAAAATGAAAAAAAAATCTCCAAGAGGGGTAGGAAAGATTTTTTGCGAAACTCTAAGCTTAGCTCTTCAGTAAGGAAAAGTAACTTCGTTGAATTTTCACAGCAAAAATGAAACTTCTTCCCCTCCCCCCTCTCCCTCCTCGCTTTGCCTTGAACTTATTGTTTGGCTTAGCAATAACAACATTTTGAAACTGCTGAGTCCTTATCAAGAGAAGAATCTTCTGGAAAATTCTCAGAATTTGGAAAACTTCTTTATCATAAACGTTTAAGGTGATCAGTAGCAAAAAGTGAAATTTATGTGAAGCTATGAAAACACCATTGGTCAGTATTGAAGGGTAACTACAAAGACATTGAATCCGAAAAATGTCAATTTTCATCTTTAAAGAAAGAAGCTTGAATTCTGAAAATTTGAATTAAAAAGAATTTCTATCAAAGCATTTTTGTCTCTCAGCAATCCTTTGGAACTGTGAAGTTATAAAGGACATTTTTGATAAATATCTTTTCGCAGAGTTTATAAATGCATTCTTTCCCTTCCTTCCCCCTCCTTCGCTCTCTTCTCCTCGGGAACATCTTGTCGAAGAATCACAGATCGTGTGAAAAACACACATTTCGTGAGAACTTCGGCAATAAGAGCCGTAATCCTCGATTCGTGCCGGCCAGATGTGAGCCATCGAACATAGTCTAATTAGGCGTTAACTCAGGCTATGGCCAAAGAACCCGAGCTGAGCCCTGAGGCGGGGCCCCGCCCCTCCACATCCCTCCTGTCCGGACACACACACATCCCATCAAAACATCCTATCACCACTACCGGAGTTGTGGACCACAATGAGTCGTCGTCTTTCCCTCCCGCAAACCCCGATCACGGCCCCCGTACTTGTCCCCAGTACGGGGAGCCCCTTCGGCTCGTCTCTGCTCCCTTTTGAGCGAAGGCAATATCCTCTACGACCCAATAAGAGCTTAACTTGCTTGAACAATATGGTGGTCAGCCATAATGTCCGGGTACGGTTGTCCCATCCGGATCTGCACGGGAGCATGCGTGGTGAAAGATTTCCCATGGAAATGTGTCATCAACCCCGGCGACTGCTACCGACACCGAAAAATCAAATTCCTAGACGATTTCTGAAACGATGCAATCAGTCTGATCTAGCTACTCGGTTTCAGAGACATGCCGATTTGGGAAATCACAGCAACGAGAGCACACCGAGCAGAGAAATTGGTGAGTCTGGAAATTTTTTTCTTAAGAAGTATTCGGTAAAAAATTCAAGTAAATATATATATTGAAGCTGTAGATGACATAAAACGTGCCATCAAAAGGTATCAAGACTACCTCAGAAAATCCGAAAAAATATTGATGTTCTGAAGTTCTGTTCATAAATTCTTCGTAGTTGAGATTTTTGCAATATTTTTTTGCAAAAAAAAGGTAAAGGGAGAAAGTTCAATATGTTCTATACCAAAAGTGGAAACCCATGCCATTTTATTTCCATACTGCCTTAAAAATTCGAGAAAATCTTTGTAATAGAAATTTCTGTTCATGTCTCTCGTAATCAAATGTTTACGACTTTTTCTGCAAAAAAATAGTCAGGGGCAAAAAATCAGGTTTTCAGAGTGAAATACCTTGAAAATTTGCAAATTACCGTTATTTATTCCATGTGACAGGTCTTATTTCTTCCAAAATATACATAATAATAGGAGGAGTAAAATTATAAATATTGATTTTCACTGAAAATTTTGATTGAAATAATCAGTCTACATATAGCTTGAGAGTTACATGTTCATTACTTTGATTATTAATTTAGTTTGATAGACTAATGAATTTCTGAAAGTCGGACCTTTGTTCCCTCGAACAAAATTTTCAAAAAATTTCTTTTACACAAGGCATAGCATTACAATGAGAAAAATTCATCACATGGATGAAACAGACACCAGCGGTTATAATTACTGTAATTTTTTCCACAACAGTTTCACAACATAAAATTTTACCAGTTTATAATTGCTGTTATTGAATGTCTGAACGCAAATTAATTTCAGTGCAGTAGGTACCCATTTTTTTACTACGTCGCAATACCCCCAGCTAGACAAAGATCATGTCTAGCATTTTTGTTTTTCCAACTGAAGTCCATGTCCAAAGTCATGGACTGCTAATTAGTAAGGGACACAACGTCAAACATGTCTATAAAACTGACAATAAAAGATTCAGTAAAGCCAAAGACCAAAGGATATTTGAATATTCTATAAGATTAAGGGTATATAATATCCTTACAGCTCATTAGGGCCCCTTCTAATGCAGTGTTTACCTATATTCATATCAAGCACTTCCCAAAGTACATATGATCCTAAAGAGAGAGATCATGTAATAATTATTGTTATGCACTTACAGTACAACTACAACAAATCTTTTGAGATATGGGACAAAATCATGTGTAAATCAAAAGGCGAATTTTTTTATAAACAAAAATTAAAACGAAAGTACGGATTGAATGTCTTGCGCTTAGTACACGTGACAGCTTTTATCGGCGAAAATTCAATTAGCAAGGCTTGGGAAAAACCATTAGAAATTTCCTTTCGAATCGTTTATGAGCTTGAAACAGGAAGTTTTCAGAAAATAGCGAAATGAATTATAAAATTTGAAAAAAACTTGAGTTTTCTTTGAATTTTTAAATTAGAAATTTGAAAAAGTTTTCTTTGAATTTTTGAACCGTCACTTCAAGTGATTACCCATTCGATCATCCCCACATTATTTTTCTCCTTTTTTTCAAATTTAAGAGTATTATTCAGCCAGTACTGAAGCCAGGACTGGCTGAATAAATGATTTAAGATGAAAAAAGCTTCGGTTCAGTCATAAAATCATTTTATGAGCGAGGAATGGGCTACAAAATTTGGAAAAACAACTGTTTTTCCCTGAACCTTCCAAACTCTCAACTGTCAAGGTCCTCTTCCTCGTCTTTTTTTTATTTTTTACCCAATCCTGGACCAATTTTCGATGAGATAAGCCTCGGCTCAGTCATAAAATCATTTTATGAGAGAGGAATGGAGCGCTCTTTGATGTGTTTTTCTAGCTTTTCAGCTCAATAGCGCGCGATAGGAAGGGAATTTATCTAAGCTAAAACTAATTAATTGTTGCTTGGTCAGAATTTGATATCATGTTTGCTGCTATATAAAGAAAAGACTTTTTTTGAATTCAGAACAGTTTTGGGCTATTTGAGCTAGATTATTCTGCAAATTTTGCCGGCAACTTGATTTTTGAGCTAAAACCTTCCTATTTTCCTTTGTAGACTAATCTAGAAACGATTATAGCACGTAAACAAATGTCGAAAGCATTAGCCAGCTAAGGAAAAAGTGATTCTAGAATAAAGTGATTCTAGAATCTCTCATACGCATGAGATAATCCCAGCAATCAAAGACAACAATAGCCTGTCTCGTTCTCATGGGTAAGGTTTCTTACTTGTTAAAATGCTAGGATAGACTCTACATAAAATCCTTCTCAATAAGCGCTTTTAGGGATTGAAGTCTTGAAAAATTCATTGCTCAATCTTACTTACTGATATCTTGCAGTCACGCAATTTAGTCATCGACTGGCGGCGATGTAGAGAAAAAACTGCTGAATTAGATATGAATCAATCCAGCACTAGCTTCTACATATTGCCATAAAATCCCAAAAAATGGTAGTTGGACCCAGATACAAATTTTGGTAACAAATGACACGAATTTTTCTGAAGTTGCTAGTCTTTTAAATGACTAGCACAACGATGGTTTTTGAGCGCATTTGATGGAAAAGTATTTGAATCAATTTTGATCGAGGAGTGATATAATCACTTTCAGATAAAGTTGATTCAAGCATGTAAATACCATGTCTGCGTATGTATGGTACAATACAAAAAAATAGTGAAAAAACTTAAATTTGACCTTATAAGGCCTTTAACGGTATTTGTTTCCCCCTTACTGCCTCGGACAGGGTTCACACGAGATCGTCGCAATTCAATCGCCGCGATTTTCATTCGTTTTCATTTTACATTCAAAAATTTCGAGATGGAAAACTATCACAACCGAAATGCAAGCTGATCGGCATGCAATGAACTCGTAACAGTCGTCTTGTACCGATTGAATCGCGACGATCAAATCGCGTGAACTCTGCCCGAGGCCTAACAAAGCATTCGTTTTTGTGGAAATGTCAATCATTGCTTTTGTAGGTACAAATCCACATAGAATTTTCACTTGCTTCAAAGATTTGAAGAATGTAATTTTCTATTACATGGAAAGCATAGCAAAGGCAAATCTTTCACTGATTTGAAGCAGGTTTTATATCTTCGAGGATTTTTGAAGGAAATTTTTCTTGTATTTCTTCAAGTGCACACAGCTTCCTAGAAAGATATGGAGCTGCTTTAAAAAATGCTCTTCGTGTTTTCCATCCCCAGAACTTTTGAGAAACCGGTCACTATAAAAATAGCTGGGTTTTGTGAAGTTGGTCACTCATATAAACTAAGTAACAACCTTACTTTTACCTCCTCAAACTCCCACGAAGTCCTAATTATTCCACAGAAGTGAATGACAGGCTAAATATGTATTCCGTAATCGTGCAAAAGCTTCCTCGAACAAATGGTATCGGTTTTGTTCGAAGAATAAAACATATTTGTATTCAGTTCTGAGTTGAGCTAAATTGGGACTTCCGGTAGTGAGCTATTGAGGATATCATTTACGGAATTGACATCTGAATCATTTTAATTGATTTTTATGCATAAGTTCGTTTTGTATGCAAGGAATTTTCCAAAATGGCCTTTAAAAGGTTGCTGCAGATTATTCGAATAAGAAGAAGTTCATTGTTAGGCTACATATGTATGCAAAACACATCGGACTTCCTTTATAAAGATACAGCAAACTGCTTCATTGACATTTAGAAAGCAATTCTGTTGACAAATAGAGCAGGACATTTTGTTCTACTTCTACATCTCATTCTTCATTTTATTCTAATTACAAAATAAGCAAGCTATTGAGAAAGTTCTCAACAAATACCGAAGATAAATTCAAATCTTCCTCAGGCAGTATTGGTTTTATTTACAGCAGTTAAGTTGCTGCTATGTGGTGAAGAAATTTTTTCTGCAGATATTGTGCAATAGAATTTCATTTACAAAGAAATGGAAAATGAAAGGATCTGTAAATTGCCTAATCGTTTCTTCTGGGGGACATATTTAGCAATTCCAGGAATGTTCTAGCAAGTTAAGATTGCTTCCAAAGCGTAAGTGAACTCGCAAATCTCTGATTATATTTTACCTTTCAAAGCCAATTACCGATTTGTAATTTAACAATAGAGATAAACGGAAGATTTTATCTTCCTAATTTGTTCGATCTGGCAACGTACATAGTACAAAATTGGCAGATCACGCGCAACTCCCACGCAAATGACTTCCAACATACGCTGTCACTATACTATTCTCAAAATCTCATTTTGCAGCAGCTCAGCCGCAAAAGTTCGTGTTTTGCAGCCGGAAAAGCACTCGAAATTGCATTATGGTAGCCGATGGAGGAGGAGTGTAACTGCTAAGCAGTGGCTATTCAATTTTCGCTAATAGTCAGCTATTTCTCTAAAAATAGGGAAGAGGGGGGTTTTTGAAGATGAAGCCAAGAAAGCAAATGCTTGACTTCTAAGGTGTTTGATGGGGCATAACCTAATAGATGAAGGTTAGTTTGAGAAAAATGGAAAATGGTAATACAAATTCCCATTTCATTTGAAGCAGTCCCAATAAAAAGGATTTTTTTTTGTAGTCTGGCTAAGTAATAGATATTGGTGTTTTCTGACATAGAAATTCTGCCATAAATAACAAATGAGCCTTACTGAAATCAAATGTTGTCGAAAAGAAATCAATACGAGCAATATAATAATGGTTCAATCAATGAAAATTCGTCTTGAACCCATCAATTATTAGTTGGTACCCAGTAATGTCAATGTCCATCAATTTAGATTTTATATAATGACACCTTGTGGCAAGTGAATCTTTAATTTAAAAGAACTGAAACAAGTAATAAATACAGATTTTTTATTATTTACACAACAATAATTTGACCTACATCATTTTAGAATTCAGAACCTATCATAGATAGAGCTTTTTCAAAAAGCCACAGAACTTTTTTTCTTTGTTCTCGAACATCTCATCTAATCGGAACATTTTCGCGCTCTTTGTTGACACCTTTGGACCAACATAGGGAGGAAGAAATTAGATTAGGCTCGAAAGAATGTGCAAAGATGCAAAGACCATAATAGCGGACCATAAGCCAAGAATCTAGAAAAACAATGTGATATCAAGCAGCTAAGGCTAAAAAAAAAGGATTTATACTCTATTTTGGGATTTAAAAATCACAAAATCAATAAAGAAAGCAATCTTTGAATCATTAATGTCATAACGACAAGAATTTTTTTCAAACCCACTCAAATAATTTTACACTGTAACGACCTATTTTACAATCAATATAAACTATTTTGAGCCCTCCTTCCCCCCCCCCTCCGCCGTCCACCCACAGCTAATAAATCTTGTTGGTCCCATCGTCGTCATTCCGTGCCGATTGATGGCAAAAAGTGCCAGCGAAGCCTGTCATTTTGTCTCGACGAGCTGTTGATGTGAGAAAAATTGATCTCATTAGGGTTTTCAGCGATGGCCATGTGCTAAACCACACCGAATATCTGCTTGAAACCCATTTTTGCCTATTCCATTATGTGTTTTGGACAAGGCCTGAAAAATTTTGCATAGCATTAACAATGCGAGGGTGGGTGGAGGTTGGGATCGAGTCTTTGAAGCTTGATGGGAAGACTTTTTGTTGGAGCTGAATAATAAAATTAGATAAATGGCTTCATAAGAATTTGCATTGACAACAGAATGGATAGTTTAATTTTGAAGTATTCCTTCTGCGTAGTTATCTTTGCTCCTATAAAAGATATGGAGCAAATTTTTTTCTCTTGCAAATTTTTCATTGGAAAGAAATCACAGCATTTTCTGTAAATCCATTCATTTTACGCATGGTTGATAATTGCGCAGATTAAACTCAGAATTGCTCAGATTTTGAACAGTTTGATGGCAACAATCCCGCGTATTCCCTAGTTCTGGAGATAAACCGAAATAATTTTTATTCGAAGCTACGGCTGTAGGTTATTTAACATTATAAGCCCTAATTTCTTCCTTGTGCTCTGTGCAAAGCTTAGTTATATTAAAACAAAACCAAATGTTTACTCTAATAATTCTCTTGCCTGAGTTCCGCTCAACTTTCAGAAAAATTATCATTTTCACGTTATATTCTTTGCAATCGTTACATTTTTTTAGAATTCTTTTTTCAAAATTTTCAAATTCTGCTGATTCTTTGAGGCCCACCTTTTCCCATAATTTGAGCTGATATCACATTATAATGCCTTTTCGTAAACTTTGACAAATAATTATATAGGTGATGTATATGTGTGAGGAACAAAGAACTGCCCTATAGCACGCGAACACCTCGTTTCGAAAACATGTGAACAGTCAGAATTGTTCATTTTGGGCTTCTTTCATGGCTAGTGGAAAGAAGAAGTGAGGGGAAATGATGAACTCTTTTCCAAGGCTGTATTTCCATGTCATAACGGCAAGAAAATGACTGTATTGGCCTCTTAGTACGAAAATTTGCATCTTATTCAAACGGTAAACAGCAAGAATTGAGCAGATAATATTGAACTTTCGCATAGCGTGATTTTTCATGTTATTTGAACAATACAACAAAAAAAAACACTATGAAATATGGAAAGACAGATTTTTTGGATTTTTGTCAACCGCTACTGGGCTTTGTGTAATAATGACTTAAGAGAATCTTTTCAGTGTATGTTTTCTACTTGATTTCAGAGTTTGAGATTATTGTATTCATTAAGTGAAACCATTCCAAATGCACTCGCTTGTGCACTTTTGTTCGATAATTTTTTTCAAACATAATTGAGATCATTTTTCTCCACCCTTATGGGCTCCATAATTATTTATAATGCCTTTCTCCTGCTTCAATCGCTTAAGCCACCAACAAAGCCTTTTTTTATTGAAAGAAGCTGGATTTGTTTCTGTGCATTGCACATTAAAACGCACAAGATTTATGATCCTCAATATTCTGGCTTCACAACTCCCTGTTCATCCATAAAACAGCTCGTTTATGATAGTCCATTCAGGTTCTTAGTATTATGCTTGCAAGAAAACTCGAATATTTCATCTGTTAGCAAAAATGAGCACATTGCTAAGAATAAAATAAATATTTAATTTTGGAACTGTAAGATTTTTTGAAGCATTTACTGTAGGCTGATTTCAGTTTTTCTTCAAATAAAATAAATATAGAAAGCAAAACTAAAGAATAGACATCAATAAGAACTACCTGAAGTTGCTAGCTTAATGGAGAAAACTATTTTCATGATAATTTCTTCGTTTTCTGCGCAAACAATTTTCTATTGAGCTCAAAAGATCAAAAGAGCTAATAATGTAGAGTTGTTTATCAACTGACATTTTTTCAATTTTTTCTCGAAAAATTATGACTCACCAACCCTGCGATGACACTTCCTAAGTCATCCCAGCCCTTCTCCGTTCGGACCAGCTCAAAAGATCTGATAGAGCGATGATTGACAGGTCTAGCTCAATACCTGTTCTTTGGCTCAAGTTAGGCTGAAAGGCCTGAGAAATCTGCACATCAGACATTAGGGCTTTTTTGAGCTAGGATTTTGTGTAATTACGTACTTGCCTTTTGAAATCAGCTTATATAGCATGCAGTGCAGTTTTTTATGCTATCGGTCAACGTTTTTATTCGTAAGCAGTTACGACTTTTGGGCAACCTTGAAATCAGAAAGGAAGCTCGAAAATTTGTGTTTTGAGCAAATTACAGATTTTGAGCCTTGAGTCTCTACTGGTAATTTTTTAAATTTAACCCGTAAGTGACAAAATTCCCAAGTAAAGAGTGTGAAGTTTCTTTCAAAAGTTTGAATTTTAGTTGTCCTTCTGGAAAGGAGAGAATAATGAAACATTTCAAGCTCTGGATTTCTGATTAATTTTTTTCTTCTCAATTTTGGCTTTTAATCAACGAATGCACTCTCATATGAGATTTTCTTGCAGGTTATAGCAATCTTTCCATTTTTTGCGTGCTTTACGAAGCGCATATACTATCAAAACGGATAACAGAGGGGAAATTGAGAAAAATATAGCCACCTAAAAATCGTATGCCTTGCTTATTTCTCACATAAAGTGAAAGAATTTCTCACTTTGTTTGCAGCTTGCAGATGTCTAGACGAGCCCATCACTCATAGCCCCATTCTTTTCACTTTTTGCTACCATTGGCCTACAATTTGTCAATATCCACCCTCACAAACGAGGCATTCCGATTTTATGTGCAATTTTATGCGTTCGCAATTCTCACGGTTGATTTTTGCCCCTGGCATTTTGACAGACAAGGCTAGCTGGCGCTTTCCGAAACAACAAACACCCACTTTTATTGCTACTTGGAGCTCTGTCCCAGGTTTTCGGCTTTCGTATATCAAACAAACATGGCATTTCGTTCAGTGAGCCTTGGTAAGGTTCTTTCCTTAGTCCATTATGAAGTTTTGAAAGAATTCATTTGATAAATAGGATAGAATAAACAAATTGGCTATCCTCTATTTTCTCCGGAACTTCACTTTCAAAAATCAAGCATTTTTTTCCTTACACTATCATTTTTCAATTTAAAGTTCAAGAGAAATCAATTATTTTCAAGTGTTTGCAATGTTGGCATACTGACACCGTAAAATATTTGATCTTTTTCAGATGGTCCCGTTGATCCGGTCTACTTGGCACTGAAGCAAGCAACCGGCAAATACGGTGGTAGCAGTGGAAGTGGACGTCGTGGCTCCGCCGCTAATAATTTCGATTCCACAACTCCTAGTCCGAGAAATCTGTCGCAAGTCTCTCTACAGGTAGGGATTTTAGATTTTGTAACGCAACTAAAGGCGCGTCTACTTTTACGTCTACTCTAGACTTTTCCGTGCTAGCGCCGTGCCAGCTCGACCTGCACGACGTTGGAACGGCGCTGGCACCGCGCTGGCACAACACTGGCGCCTGAGCAACTCGAACGCAGCGTAGTGAGATGATCGTAAGAGAAAGTCTTCGTTTCTTTCTCAACTCATGCATTGAGCATAACGCAGCGCGTCGCAAAACATAAACAGAAAATAAGAAAACTGGAGAGTTTGCCTAAAATTCTGATTGAGAGGATTATCGATAAAATGAAAAAAAATATTTTTCAAAAACTTCGTATGCATCGACTCTTGCCATTCAGAGAAGCAGCGTGTAATTTCTTTGTTTCTGTTTTCATTTTCGAAAAAGTTTCCTTTTTTCTCTAAAAACCAAAGTGCATTCTTCCTATTATTCTGCAGGCCCTCCAAACGACATCGTTCAAGTCTAGCTAATAAAAAAGTGATTTATGGCTTGGGATTAGCTGAGCTGTCATGAGGAAACCGATCAGCTTCGGACCTCCTCTTGCTGAAATTTCCTAACATTTCCATTGGAATTCTAGTGCTCTCACCTTGGCTTTAAAAGAGAATTTACTCTTAGACGCTGCTTTTTTTCGTAAATCTATTAGCTTCTTCAACATGAAAGTCAAATAATAGATAGAAGTAAATAAAATGAGCTAATATACCTATAAATGCCAAAAATAGCGAATCCTTTAAAAATTGTGACTCACTCTCAACCTGGTAGTTTCACATTAAAGACGTAGACGTTTATAATGATTACTGTAGCATATCCTATGTTGTTTTGTCTCATAACTTTCCTTAAGTCTTATTAAACCCTAAGTTTCAACATGAGTAATAGTCACTGTAAGAATTTTCTTACTCATGCGCAAAGGTTTTCCTTTCACATCCTTGGAGAACTCAGCATTTTTTGTGAGTAACAGCTATTTTTGAATGTACTGGGAAATCTTTCATAGTGCATCGTGCTTGCAAAGTACAATCTGATAAGGCATGCGGATGCGTGAGAACTCGGATTAGCCCACAGAGGAGATCTGACATTTCGTTTTATAGGTTTTATTTAATCATGGGATTTAATGGAATGTGGAGAAAATAAAGAGAAGCTTTAGATAAGGATTTTTCAATGGAAATTAGACCTGGGTAGTAAAATTTATGCGATTGTACGCAATAAGGCCTGGCAAACGAATCTTCAACACATTCTCGTACCCATGCTGGATGGTTCCCTCGAAAATCTTTTTTACAAAAATCATCTTCAAAGTTTCCGGGTTACTCTCGGACTACAAAAAAAAAAATCACTGCGCCACATAGCTGTAAAAAAGAGAGATATTTCGTACTACTAAAAATTTTTATGAAATCCAGGTGTTCTATGGTGTTTCTTCTTTATCTTACTACCACTGCATTAATTCCTCGTAATTTCATGATAGCTGAAAATCTGAAACTGAAAATCAAAAACTTACCTGGTTATAGATAAAGACAGTTTCAGTTTTACTTGTGAAATCTCACCCTTAATGAGTAGCTTCTAATTAGATACAAGTGCATATGTTTGATGTATGCTCAATAGTAGATTTATCTGAACTTGCTAATTAGGATGAGGGTGGGGGCTTCCGTAAATATGGCAAGGATTTCTTGCACTTCAGTCATAGAATAAGGGGCTAGACAAAATTACTTTCCAAGTATGTCTGTTATATCTAGAATATTTACATTCGCGGTTCTTGGCTCTATATACTAAATTGGAGCTTCAGTCAGTAGTAAACACCTACAATGAAACGAATCAAAAATTTTCTGCGAAGCAAATCGTTTTTTGTAAGTTATATCTTTAGTGTATTTTCAAAGACATACAGCTTAAATGATAAATTATTAATTTCCAAGAATAACCTGACGGTTTTAGTTCCAGGATTCTGGCTATGCAGAGATGAGCTCAGTTAAGATGAATCCTATGCTTGGTTCCACTCCTCAATTGGATCACTCAGGTACATTCCGATTTTTTTTTGTGGAAAAAAGAATTAATTAGGATATGGTGAGGAGCCTATCGCAATGACATTGAAGAGACTATTGCGTTTGGTAAGAGCCAGAGAAACAAAAATATAAACTAATGTCGAGTATATTCTATTGAAGGAAGTCAAAGTCGAAGTGCATTTACACCAAATAATTTTATCACCTTCAAGACATGATCTGTGCATCCTTCAGTGGAAACTTTTCTAAAGTTTTGCATATTTTTTGTTCAGAGAAGAAGAGATTAGGGAAATGTGCAAAGATGGCATCAAAAGGGAAATTTTGCTAAAAAGGTAGCCAATTGCTTCAAGAGATTACATTACCATAATCAGCTTTTTGACTTTTAAACAAACCTTGCGTTCAGTTGTTGTATCTCTCCGTATTCATTGGCAATTCCTATTTTTTTCAATGTACATATATTTCATGAATGGAGCGTACGAAAATAATACATTACAGTTTTAGGGGCAAAAAAAAATCACAGTCAGAGGTATTGCCTAGAGACAATAAACAGGTGAAATTAGAAAATACTGAAACTTTCAGTTTTTCTTTTCTTCTTCTCCTCCGAAATTAATGTAGCTTATGCAAATCCAGAGTCATACACCATCTGTTTGACCACAAATTCCTTTGCACAACCATAGCTGCAGCACAGCTGAAGCTCAGATTGTAGCCAATGTTTACATCCAACCAAAAAAATCTTTTCAGAGTCGTAGATTTCAAAGAACCTGGATCATAATGCTATTGACTTTCCTAAGATTTGTTGCCTTTTGAGCCTCATATTAGTCAAACTGAAAAAATGCGGCAGTTTTCCCGGTTCTATATCCTGAGGCGTCCCCTGTAGACTGCACTTTTGAGCGAAGAAAGTTTTTCTCTCCAGCGAAGAAAATTTTCCAAACATCATATATAAACTTATTTTCTCACCGAGACACTCAAAGTTGATGATGTTATGTATACACGCGTTGCTGTAGTGATTATTATGAAATTGTCGTTAATTGAATATTATCGAGGAGGGTAAGAGTAAACCCGGCTTTGCATATCGGATACTCAGTCTTACAGTAGAAAGTCTCATTCTCGATTTATGGCGGTTTTTAGAAACTTCTCACATCAAGTAAGAGGATTCATCCCATTTTGAGCATGATTTGCGATAGAATGACTTGAACGTTATCGTCAAAAAATTTTTTGATTTTTGTGAGGGCCGTCTGGACCACACCACCGGTAATTGTGCAATTTTTACAAAAACAAACTACCAGTTTTCAATCAAAAAATTCAAAAATGTTTGTTTTCAATAATCATGTAGTTTGTGCGAAAAAATAAAAAACCCGGATATTTTATGTAATTTGAAGTCAGAAAGTCTTAAATTTCTGCCATCCTTTGAACTTCCGGACAGAAATTCTTGCTTTCGCTCAGTTTTTGTTTCTCCTCTCCTTCCACCCCCCCCTCGCCAGGATGCAAACAAAATCGAAATCAAACTCTGAATACAACACATATTAATATAAGATTCTTTGGAAAAAAGACTATTTTGAAATCAAAAAAGCTTATCGTGGTGTTAAGAGAAATGGGCCATCTATAGTTGAGCTGCAACTCGTCTACAGTTCCTTACAATCAGCATGAAGAAGTGTTGAACTGGTTGTTTTTCGAATAGAAACGAGATATAACCAAATTAGGCTGCTCAGATAATGATCAAGAAATTTTGAGCCCCTAAACGTAGACGAACTTCTTTAGAATTATCGTAGGCTTCCCAGTCCCTAGAATCGGTCGCGAGAGGCTTAATGGAATTGAGCAAAAAAGCTATGCTTTGAAATATACCAGACCTTTCCTCTACTAAGAACCACTCTAGCAAAAATATGTCGCTTCGAAAAAGGGCAATCTTTTTCAAAGTTTAAAACTGTTTTTTCCATTGCACAACTCAGTCAGATTTTCTAGAAGAGTCAAATACAGATTTGTGTCTTAAAATCACGTCATGGTATATATGTCGCTATTACTGGTCTTATCAACGGCTCAAAGCTCCCGGATAATGGAAGTATGGCTAGAACTGGATTATAATGACGCGAGTACATATCCTTTGCTTACGGATTATCTCTAATACTTTGCGCGGGAGTGAAAGTAGGATTAGATTTTGTAGATCAAAAACTAGGCTTAGGCCAATCGGAGGAGTTGAGGATTTTCTAAAAATCAAAGAAAAATATTCTGTCAAAGACTTCAAGTTTGAGGATAGTCAACGATGCATCATAGAATTTTCTAAGAAATTTTGAAACATGACTTACAACCACCATTTCATAAACTTTTTTACTCTCATACGGTGTACTTACATTTTTTTACTGTCACATTATAACCTCAACAACTTGCCTTCGAAAAAGTGAGATAGTCCCGGTAGCGTATAAGAAATTTCCTAAATAACAGGGGTGCTTTTAAAATTGTTTTCCCTCAAAGTTTTGTCACACGATAGCCCTTATGACTTTAACCCTTTTACCCACTAAGTATTCAAACAGCAAAATCTTTTGAAGGAAAGACTTACTAGAAACTTTCATGCAAAAATATAATAGAATTCACTTCCCACACAACAATATGTGTCATTTTTGGGAGGACACTTTTACCAACATTCATAAATTTCAATTTACATAAACGCGTTAGAGTTCATATTTTGATTTTTGCTTTTGCTGACATTTTGCACAAAGTGTTCTCTCTACCCTTGCTTCTATAATAAATATGAAATCATTTTCCATTAGCAAATAGCATCAGTTCAAAGTTGTTCACCTGTTCGGTGGCAGGTGCTGTTTCGCTGCTAATCGGTTTTACTTCATTTCCTGATTAATTTTAAGCTGCTATTTACCTCGAAAAGTAGTCATTCTTTTTTTATGCATCTCATATTTCAGCGGTAATGCTATAGTTTCATCTGGAGTCAAATCATGACTTAGAAGGAAAGAAAAATGAAGGAAAAAGAAGTTATTATCTAAATCCTTGTATAGTTGCTACCAACTCGTAAACAAAGCTTTTGCAGCGATTCAAATTATTGTATGTACAGCAAAGCACATCAGGAAAAACAGCAAAGCAACGGAAATTGATTTCCTACAGTTCTGCAATAATTGTATTCGAAATTACGAGAAAATTCTAGCATTCTACTTGCGTATCCGAAATTTACAAAGCTCTAGTATGCCTTCCACATTTCATTCTTAATGCAAGTTATTTAACATCTGGTTTTCTGAAAATAATATTTTAAGGAAAAAGCTTAAGGTATACAACATCACGGGTAATTTGTGATGAGAATAGAGCACTTAGAGAATTTTCACTTACGAGTAATAAGAAAACTGATCTTTATGACTATGTTTAAAAAAAAACAGTGCTTCAGTCTTTGAAACTCTTGGCAAAATTTTTTGGTAAGAGTAGTGAAAATTCAAATCGCTTCGTATTGCAAGCTTAAACTTCTATTAAAAAGGGAAAGAAGTTTTACTGACTCTTATCTCGTAGCTAGTATTTTTCCAGTAATTACGCACTCAGTGGTTAGTAGTCCATCATTAAGTTTGAAGTTTCCGCAAATAAAATTTTAGAATGACTTACTCGGTCCTTTAATGAAACTCAACAGTATTCAGTAATGGGAGTTCCATACTCCAAGTACGAAAAATCTAGCTATAATTGGAAACTCGTGGATTTATAGTCTGTATTCAACAAACTCATAAGTCCTTCTGTAGTTACGGACTACGCTGTATAAATCAATATTTATAGAGTAGTTAGTAAAAGACAAAGTTAAGCAATTTATGCAGAGTTGATTTTTCTGGATTTGGAAAATAAAAATCGATCAAAACTCTTCTTTCCTACTGTTAACTACTTCGATTACTTCATAATTTAGAGAAGTTAGCAAGAGAAAAAATTTGTCGATTTGTGCAGAGCTAATTTTTCTGGATTTGGAGAATGACAAAATGGGGGAGATGCACAGATTTCTCAGTACTGGTTTGCATTTCGCTACTATAAAAATTTTTTGGTATGATTTGGACTGTCAAAAATCGGAATAAAGATAAGCTTGAAGGAAAAACGCGTAATAATATAGCCTTGCGATTTCCTTCCATGGCATGTTGGTGTAAAAAAATGACTTGCTATGTCTTCTTTTCAACTGTGCGATGTGCTGAAATTACATGAAAAAGACCCTTTTCTGAAAACTGAAAATGATTTCCATATTTTTCTGGTGAATTCCTGAAAAGAAGAGATCATGGACTGATCGTTAACTTGAAACGCTCTTCAGGATGGCTGACAGATCAAAGGCTAAACGGGGCTCATTCCCTGCTGCCAATGCAATTGTCCACACATTCATTTGATGCCGTCGAGCAAAGGCTCATTGTGATTTGCGCATTTTTCCTAACCTAAACCTCCCACACAACGTTGATTTACGACCTCTTGCACTTTCGCACTTTAGAGCTGTTTTTCTTTTACCAGATGGGTGGAGTTACAGCTAAGTGCGTGCGTTGAAAATTGTAGCCGGAGAGTTTTAACGCCCTATTAGCGACCTGTACAACTAAATGCATCGTTCACCAAACACTTGTCGTCGTAAGGAATCACGAAGCTCTTCCATTTCGCTTTTGTTATGTAAGTGGGTTGACTTTACGTGGTTTAGGTAGGGATAGGAAAAGTCGGCTGTCCTGGGTAAGAAACACTTTTTTGGACGTTTTCCCTCTATTCTTGGGAACCGGTAGACACCAACTGTTGGCTTGGCTTCTTATAATGATAAAAGTATTGCGGTTTCCAACCTCCACTCTTCCTATAAAATTTTGTCAATTAAAAAATGTTCACGGAAAAACTTGCATAAAGAAGAATTTATTTGGGATGTAAGGCTTAAACTACTAAAACTCAACGCGTAGTGATCAAGATGATAACTCCTAAAAATTACATTTCCAGAGACTGAGGATTGTCAAGATAGATTCGAAGGCTGTTGGTTTTAGGTTCAATAAAATTGACTTCTTTCGGCTGTTTTAGCCTTTAATAAATGAAAAAAATTACTAGATTTTGCCTTCCCACTTGGTGCTCCAGTTTCTCCTCAACTGAGATTTGGGTTTTCCTTAACTGAGATCTTGATTGAGACGTGATGAGTAATGGAATTAGTATGTAATCCAAGAAAATGGAATCAGATTTTTCCTTTATAGGGATGAGCACAACCACGCATGGATACACCGTCACAGAACTTATTAGAGAAATTGATAGAATTTCTTTGAATTTGAATGAAGTACAAAACTCAAAGCATAAAGCTTCAATAGTCTACTGATTCTGTATTTTAAACTGTGTATTTAAAACAGGCTTGTGCCAAATTTATTCCCTTCGTAAAATTAAAGAAAACAATCAATTGTAGCCATCATTTCCATGGAGCTTGACTTTTAAATACATTTAGTACATAGTTCAAACCTATAATTGCACTCTTTTCGGCTTTGCCGTTAGAAGCGTTCCAGTTACGTTGAGATAGAAAATGTTCTAAAAAGTTGTACTTCGAACCCTTGTCTCATTTCTGCGATAAAACACATCTGACACCACAAAATGCTTTATTCTATCACTGAGATATTGTATCAACAAATTATATAGCATTTAGTTCTTTTCGCCTCCGATTTACGTCACAATTTTTCTAACTTATGTAGCATTACATTTGGGGCTAAATTTATAATTAATTACGAAAGGTGCAATCAAATTGTATTATAGTACTCGTTTTCCGCTAAAAAAAATTTAGAAACTTTCTCCCTATAGATGCTAGCGTGGAAATAATAATAAAAAAGTTCAAATTCAACTAAAGTAACTGTTGAAAGTTCCAGTGGTTCAAATCAATTTTTTGATTTTTGCACTGCTTGAGACCAGGAAGTCTACCCAGCACTGATCCCGTGAGAACCTATAGACACCTCTCCGATTACCACTTTATTAGATCCTGATGTTTTGCAAATCAGTTGTGCCGGAACTAGATGAAGGTCTGGACTGCTTTCTTTCGTTGTTGCTCTGACTTTAGCAGAATTTTTATATTTCTATTGCTATGGTTACAATCTGATGGCTCTAGCACAATTTGCAGTGAAGCATGAATCGAAGTAATTATGAATTAGAGATTTTTTGCAGAAAATCGAATTTCCACGTCAATTAGCGAACAAAAACCTAGGGATTTAACAATTGGCCGAACCTGTACACTGAGCTGTAGCTCCACCTTTACTTTCCCCCGCTGAAATTGAAAGCCCTGCCCATCTAAGCGGCTAAAACCTTACAAATCTTTGCATTTTATGATGTGTGTGGGTAACCACAGGCAGCCAATAATCTGCTAAGCCATACGACCAGCTAATACTCCCCCCGTCAAATCACTACAACTTCTTATACAAAGCCGTATACAGCTGTTGATCACTCATTTTACATTGCTATGCAACCGTTTGTTCGTCGACAACTTGGGCTTTGTAAGTTTTAGCAGCTTTTTTTGAGAAATTTCTCGTGATTGGAGCAAATTTATCTACGATGTTGAGCACGGTAGTTTCAACATAATTTAAGAAGAATCTAAATTTTGTGATAACATGAGAGAAAATGCATGAGTACATGTCATACAAAGTTTTTTGCTAATATTTCTCAATTTCTTCAACTCTTGTTCGTGTTTAGAGTATATACATAAGAATTTTTTCTGCGACCAAAGTGAAGATAAAGATAAAACTAATGCCCAGTGTTGTTCAAATTTTTTACTTTCCCTAAATGGTCCAAAAAAAGATTTCTAAAGTTCCTTAACCTGCAATTTGTCGATGAAAAACTAAATCGCATCAGTCAATATTTTAGAAAACAGTAGACATCATCAAGAAAATTTCCTTATGTAATTGTTCATTTTATAGTTGAGGTAAATAGCTGAAAAAGTGATCATATAGCAAAATAATTACAGTCTAGTAGTTTCAAAAATAAATGTAGTGTTCTTGCGTTGCTGACAACTTTTGCGCGTAAGCAATGCTAGTGACTAGACCGCGCAACTCACCAGCGAATCGCCGGCATTTATCTTGAGATTTGTTCCCGCGCAAAATGATTTTGTCACCCTAGTGGCACCATAACCGCCATTTCTATTATAAATACTAGACCGTAATTATTTGCTTTACGTAGGAAATTTAATCCACAGCATTTCAAGTTGTGTATTTCTTGAAATAGCTGAAAATTGAACTTTTTCAAATTTTCTAGTTAGTTTTGTAGCTGCCCTACCACCGACAAAAGGCCTATAAAACAACGAACTAGCAGACTAGATCCACCCACACAAGGACAAACTAAGAACACCACAACTAGGCGAAATCTCAATCAAATCTTATTCAATCCTCCCTTCCCTATAATGAACTTAAGTGCATCTGCAGAGTGTACATACTCTAGCAAGTCATAAGTTACTGGTCGGTTGTGTATTTGCACAAAGAAAGCTGGTTTTTTATAAAGCTAGATCTTCTGTATACTATCCACTTAAGATTGCTATGCTTTATCATTTGCATGTCCTTTTTGTTTGTAAGTATAAATAAAAGTCGGATAGGATATCTCATCTTGTTTTTGACCTTCTTTCCTCTTTCTATGGGCCTAGAAACTCCGGGAAAACTCCCAGACTTTCGCAAAATCAACTCACTAACTTCCTGCAAATTATTTAAGATTATCTTGTTACACTCAGACGGATAAAATTTAATTCCCCTAAACGACTTAGCCCACATAAGTGACTACATCCATAGCTTTATGATTGCGTCAGATCTTAATCCATCGTATTATAACTGACGTAATAAGATCTGCATTGTTTGCGAGAGTGAAGGCTTTCTGCAGCATTTGTAGCTTTTCTTGAAATGCCCAGTTATATTCTATTGTGAAAAAGTTTTGAAGCGCATAATTAGACCACTGATTTGCGTCAGAAAAGTTGCCGGAAATTTCCGTTACTAGATATAAGCGGCTATTAAATCCTAAAATTGTGTGTGCTTTTATAGACATTAGATCGTATTCCTATTTTTAATGCATTAGATTTTGAATTTAGCTCATTTGCATTATTGAAAAAATAACTGCTCTGAATATTGTGGAAAATCTACGGCTGGAAACAACCACAGTAATACAAAATTGATAAAACTCCTTAGTTTTACCCCTAACTCATAAGTTTTGGAAATTGAGGAATTTCTTACCATGCAGAACTTCTTCAAGGAAATAATAATATTTCCCAACAAGGAAGTTTTCTTTTGGCTCTCCCACCTAGTGACGTAGAAACCGTAAATGCGACCAAACCTAGTTACGTACAAAAAAAATTCTAACGTAATTTTGATAAGTCTTTCAGTACATACATATATAGATGAGAAAATGGAACTCTGGTAAAGTTAAATACCTTGAATAGGCTTCTACTGAATGAGCAGTTGGCTGATTGCTTTCATCCCATAATTTTTATATCTACCCATACAATCCACCTTTGCTTACTCCGAATCTTTGAAAACTGAATAAAACGTATCTTATCTATTCTAAGATCCCAAAATGATATTGATATTTTGCTGTGACATAGGTATAGGTTCCAAATTTAGCACAAAAATACTTTATTCATCTTAAATAAATGTGATAACAACTCAAAAATCTTTCTTTTCCAGGCAGATCCACAGGTCGACGGCGAGCACCAAAGCTCACAACACAAATGAAGTCACTTTCATTAGATTGCCAAGAAATGCCACCAAGGATTAATGCAGCCAATCGAAGTCCAATGAGTGAGTCATTCAACTTCTAAGAAGAAAAATCATTTCTGAATTTTTTCATTTTTTAGGATCAAAAATGATGAGCGGACATATCCGTAGCAAAAATGGTTCGTCAGATTTATCGGATTGGGATAGGAGCTGTTCACCATGTCATACTAGTAGACGTAGCAGTGCTGCTGCATGTAAGTTTGGATTTTCATTTTTGCCTCAAAAAGCCAGCAAAATCATTCTGTAAAAAAATGGCATTAAAAATCCAATTTCAGTGCTGAGCGGCGGCTATGTTGTTATTCACGAATATGCACCGACCAATGGCGCGCCACCATTGATTCTCGGCGAAAGGGTGCATGTTGTCGATAACGGCGATCCTGATTGGTTGCATGGATTCCGAGAGCATGATAGGTAAATTTTTGAATAAAATCAATAAAGTAGAAAGAGATGGCTCAGTAGCTGTACAAAATCATTATTTTTTGCATATATGGTACTTTTCAGAACCGATCAACTGATAATTTACAGGACTGAACAATTGATCACATTCCCGGCCACATGTGTTGCACTGGTACAACCAGGAGAACAAGCAATGAAAATTTTACAAAATGTTGCTGTGCCAGAAATTAAACTGCGACTTTATCGAGATCAGGTAAGGAGATTTATCTTATCGTTAATCAAAATTTGCTTGCACAAAAATCTAGAAAAATAGGAATAAAAAAGTTTTCCCATTGCAAAATCAATGAGTCTGCGCGCGTGCGACCCATAGGCGTCTCCAGCTGTCTGCGTATCCTCTAGTCGCATGCACTCTCTGCGACTCAAAGGCGTGAATGGCAGCGACGCCGCGTTTGGCGCAACTTTGGCGTTTTTTGTCTGTTTTTGCTCAATTGCACAAAAACCTTTATTTATCGTATATTTTCAGCTCATCTAAATTTTTTCTTTCAGGTTGTCTTTGCTCAACCTGACACTCTAAGTGATGGAAAAGTGACGGTTCGAACTGCACACAACGCTTTCGCTCCATGTCCGCTGACCAGCTTGGCACTCATCTAAATGGCCAAAAATCAGTTGTCCCAGAAAATTTGTCTCCACCCATCAGGATTCATGGATTAAAACGATATTGTGTGCTTTGCAGCCCTCTGTCGGGTTTTCAATCCAAATTTCTCATATCTAATTTTTTACGAAGTTCAGTCGCCCATAAAAAAATCAGATGCTGAACTTCTATGAGCTTACGATTCTATAGCTTGTTTTTAGTGATCTTAAAAATTGCCCAAGCGCAAAAAAAAATTCCCAAAAAAGTCTGTTGATGTTTGCGCATGATTTCCAAATGTTTCTAATTTATGATATTTCTATTTGATTACATGTACCATTCGGGTTGTGATCTATTTCGGACCATGTTTTCAATGCTAAGAATGTTTGTTCCAATCAGCTTTTGTCTAGTCTATCTCCATTTCTAGTAAAAATGTGTGTAGAATATACTAGTCACATTCCTTTGTTCATTTTTAGTGTAAATTCTCGTGAGCGTGCTTTTATGCGGCTGAAGAATTACTTTTCTCTAATAAATTGTTTGCAAAATCTATGTTTCCTCGCTAATTGGCCATCAACGTTATCGCCTTCGTCATTCCAAGAAAAAGTTGAGTGCAAAAAGATAAAATATAGCATTTAATTAGAAGGTTAGCTTCAACGTAAGCGCTGATAAGCAACCATCTAAGATGACGCACAAATCTGGCACGTACAATGAAATTGTAGAAAAAAAAGTTTGATAAGTTTTTAGGGGTAAGATGCAGTGCGGGTCCATATCAGAATGCATATGGATGTTTCTTTGGTTGTTAATCAGTGCTTAAAATTCTTCTGCTGCTGGAGTTTTTGACAATAAATCAGAACGCTAGGAATCAAGTGAAATGGAAGCTCAAAAACAGACTCAGACAACTGCATCGGGAAGTTCGCGGGTGCTTGCTCGGCCACCAATCATCCATGTCGCGAGCTGCCCGGTATAATCCGACATCGGACCCGATAAGTGACCGCGGCGCGTCCTGTAGGCGCCCGATAGTTGACCCGATTAGCATGCTTATGAGGCCTAGGAAGAGTGAAAAATTTTTGGATTATCTTTCGTGACAACGACTTGAGTACAAATTGAGCAACTTGTTAGCTCATCTGTCGACATCATCTAATGTCGGCGATAACACTCATCCGACTGCTGAAGTTTGTTTCGTAAGCATAAAAACTAAACTGTCACACAGGACCAAACCCGAGAAGCGATCAGTGATGACCCTCACAAACACTTAGGGTAGCCCCATCACTGCGGCTTACCCCACGCGGTGTGCCTTAATCTACAGCGTGTAGTAGGGCCTTTGATAAGACCCGCAGCCCGCCGAGTGAGGTGATTGGGCCGCGACTCTCCCGATTCTTCCCAATTACAACTATGGCCGCGGAGGGCGGCGTGGCAGGAGTTCCCAAAGCTTAGCCGCTTTTCCTCGCAGGGGGTACTTGGCACCTCCAGAAATCCCTTAGAGGACATCACACCTTCTCGGGGCCAAAGGGCGGCTCCGCCCATCATTCTTTCCTCCGGGTGCCCTCATTATGAATTGTGCATGCGGATTGTAAGACTCGTATTGTTTTTGATAATAACACTGAAAACGAGAAACAAAAAAAATTTCAGGTCAAGGTTTAGGATCCGTAGATGACTGCAACTGAAGAACCAGCATTTCGAGTTACGTTTTATCACATTTCGAGTTACGTTTTATTACGCTTGGATAAAATGACGCTTCTCCAAAATTTTGCAAGCGCTCGCATTTGAGTAAGTTTGTGAAGCATACTGTATTAACATAAGTCAAGCGGAAGTTATCAGTGACAGATGAGTTAGTCAATTACACGCAAGTTCTAAATAAGAAAAAGAAATGAAAAAAAATGAAATATCTTGCGAATTTGATGTCGTATTTGAATTCTTGGCAAAATCTTCAATCACACATGGGAGCGAAGTTTGGTATTCTGTACATCGATTGTAGGAAATATTACGCTCAAAATTTGGTTTTTGGTAATTAAGATCTTAATGGTCATTAGAGGAACTGGAATGAAAAACTCATTGAAATACACATATAATGGCAGACAAAAGAAGGAAAGTATACATGTTCAAGAAACTAGAGAAAGCGTTGAGTTGCTTATTCGGAAACTTTAATATACTCCTTCCAAACTAGATAGTTCTAATGTTAAAAAGGTAATAGGGTTCTCACCACTTCTGGTCACTCAGTTATTCAACTCCAAATGCTAAATTGGTTAAATCAGATGGACAGGGATTTAAAGTTGATCAACTAAATTCTCTAATATTTCGAATGACCGAGTTTTCCATACAAAAATTCTGCGCAATTTATCTCTTTTGAGAATAATGTTCAAGGGCTCGTTTCTGAAAGGATTTCGTAGCAATAGTTTTCAAGCCTCCTCACTTGAGAAATGATAACTATGTTGTCCTTCGTTTTTTTCCATTTTTTTCTCTTATTACCTTAATACTGAGTTCTATGCTCTCGCTCATTGCACACCTCACAATGAGACCAGTAAATGGGTGGAGCAATGGGCGTGGCCTGACCCCTGAAGCGCGAAGGTGTTAGAAGCCCCTTGGGTGCGAATGCTGGTGCGAACTTGGTGCGAGGAAAGGTGCGAGGAACTCCTGCACGCCCTCCGCCGCGGCGGGCAGCGGCGTGCGCGGCTGAAATTTGAAGGGCGGCGGCGTGCCATGTAACACGCTTTGAGGCCGCGAACTTTCCGATGCAATCGTCTGAGGAGTTTATGCAAATCTGGGTGGTGCTTAAGTTTCTTATGTGTAAACGGATTGAGAGGCCTCAACTAATTTGATGCCCACGCAGCAGCTCATATGATTCATTTCTGATTGAGAAACATATATCTCACTCGCCCAGACCATATTCTATAGCGTCGAGACACAGAGTGAATTATTTTCTAGGCTCGAGATATTGATTAATTGTAAATGGACTTTTTCTTTGATGCGACCGACGCCGTGGGAGCCTCTTTACATCCCTAACATCAAAGTTTAAGCTTTCCGTTAGCTAATAACTATGAAAGAGAAATATGATATGCCAGTACCTATCATATTTATCATTGTTTGAACTATGCTTCAAATACTTTGTGAAACTCGCAGCTGTTTGATGCATAATGCGCCAACTTTCAACAAATATTAGCATCCAGATTCTGCAGTAATCTACAATTCTCCGTATAAAGAAAACTTGTTTATTAGTCATTTTCTAACTGTCCTTGTAAGATTTGTGCGTGCGAAAAATGAAAATCATGCAAACATTCATCTTCTCATAGATCGAACGGGCATTACAATAGATATTACAATAATTGGATGTTTACATGCAGCCCACAGTTTCTGCAAGAAACACTCTATTCTAATAAATCTAACATATTCAAAAAAGCTCGCATTTCAACTCCTTTTCGGAACAGCTACAGATTGACAGTAACTTCTACAGTTTTACTACAGCATCAGAAGATGATACAGTACAACAGAGTACCGAAAACAGTTACCAAGAGCTGAAGAGCTGGATAATCTACGACCTATAGCAACTCGAGCAGAGTGAATTCAGAAGAACGTTCATATCAATGTCAGTGAATCCAGAAAGAAGAAGGATTCGGAGGGCTTGTATTTGGTGTAAGGGGGGGGGGGGTGGGGCGGCTCTTCTGATCGCTTGTCGATCAACTCGTCCCTGATTGGCCTGCATGCTCGCCTTTGATTGGCCAGGTTATCGACGGTACCAGTTAAGAGTAAAGCAGAGAGAGAATTCCCCTTGTTCGTAATTTCTGTACACTTTTCCACTTTTCTTTACATATGCAAGGCATCAGAACCAAAAGAAGTCAGGAGAAGATTCTAATATAGACATTTACTGAAAAGAGCTCAAATATGAAAAGCACAAATCGTATAATATTTTCAACAATTTCAACGTTGGTGTTGATTTTCTCCATCATCTAAACATTTTTCGCTTTGTTTTAAGAATTGATAGTTACTGTCAACATTTGCACATACATTAATCACCTAGCGTCACACTTTTTTCGAAACCGCTGTTTTCCCAGTTGTATGTTGAAAACGTTCACTTGATTTGGTTCTGAAGCCATATCCAATACAATTTAGGACTCCCAGCAATAAGCGACACTGCTTCATAGAACGTTCTCGAATTTTTGACTGCTTTGCTGATATTCTAAGCTAGTTACATAAGTATATATTTATGGTTCATTTATTTTTCATTTATATTTTATTTTTTATTTATGTTTTTTTGTCATTCCGGACTCCGAGGTGTGGATCTCATAGACTACCGCATTGCCCTCTTCATGCTTCCGCTTCTTTACATTTTCTGTTAAGCTAAGAAGAGTGCAAATCAATTAGTTCAAATCATAGCATTTCCTTTTCGTATTGAAATAATACAAATCAACCAGCTAATGGCTCAAAAATGATTCTGCTTTTTCGTCAGTATTGGGATGCAGGTCTTCAATCACCCTTCAATTGACCCTCTTATGTTCTTCCTATAAATCTTCGTCGAATCTTTCTAGAAATGCGGTAAGCGACATTTCCTTTCAGGAAAGGAATGGGCACTCACAACAGATAGGTAAAGAAAGTTTGGTTTTTGATAGCTGCACTATCTTTGACTCTTTAGCATCATTAGATGGCTCAAAGTTACATCAGTAGTATGAAACACTTCAATGATGCCGAATGCATACTCAGAGAGCTTCCAAAAATCTTCATTGACATTTTCATGCTCTGCAAAGCCCAGATATGGGTTCAGTGGCGAGGAGGCTTCGAAGAGGTGAAAAACTGGAGCGAAGTGCCGCGACCCTAACTTGGAGATAACATTCGATATCATTCCGAATTTGTTGTTGCTGGGATCAGGTTTGAAACTTTCCATACTAAAAGGAAAGTGATATTGATCGCAGTGGCTTTCAAGTTCTCTTATAGAGCATGGAACGCCAACCCCAAATCTACTTTCGAAATCTGCAAAGCGATCCTGGAAGGAAAGTAAGGAAAGTTACGCGAATTTTTTGAAGCAAACTTGAACGCGCGGCTACAATGAAATCATTTAGAACTTCCTCGAACTCAGATGGACCATGATTACAACCAGGGAGGGGGGGGGGTGTGGTGCGAAAGGCAACAATCTCCAAATTTTGCGCCTTTCACACTCTTCGGCGCTAAAGTGACAAGGCGTCAAAGTAGGGGGGATGGGCCGGGGGGGGGGAAGGCAATACGCGACTGATGCCACAAGTAAAATTCTGTAGAAGTTAGCAAGAGCGATTTTACACTGCTAGCATTGCGCGCACTGTCGCCTTTCGCGTGCCCCTTCCCCCTTCCCCCCCCCCCACCCCCGCCAGTAATCTAATAAGCTTAAGCTAGTCATCACCGCTTTCATGCGCCTAAAAGACCTCAACGCCTGTTCTTAACCCTTGATTTAACTGGATTCGGCTGGAAGGCGGGGCTTTGTGGCCTAAGGTCGCTCGCGCCCGCGACGCACTCGGCGTCTCTCTCGCACCCATGCTCTCCGATCATTCTCTAGGCCTTGAAGGCAGTGTCCGGACAGGGTGGAGGTTTTGGGATTTCAGGTCATGCGAAAGTCCCCCCCCCCCCCCTCAAACAGCAACGCGCAAGTGCGAGGTTATAACGTTCCACCTAAAACAAGAAAAACGATCGGAAAGTGGGGAAAGTTACGTCTTGGGGGGGGGGGGGGGTAACTTTCACATTCAAACAGGTGACCTCCACCTGTTTGAATGTAAGCTCTTTGATAGAATACTCATGCCGTCACAGTTAAAACCGTAAGGTCCCTCGCAACTCTGCGTCTCAGCCTTAAGTGACCGTCGATCAAATTTCATGGCTTTGGAAAACGCAAACTCTCGCCGTTCTCGCGCCTTTCAATATGGACTTTTGAATTCAGCGTTGCGAAAAACCTCCGATAGGCGAATTGTCAAAATCGAGTATTGGCCCGGACAATGCCTCAAATAAGTCATGAAGCCCACCTTCCAGCCGCCAATCCAGTTGAATCAAAAGATACCTTGGCCAAACCCTTGCATGTCTGCCTCAAGACTTCGTCCACAGAAGCGCTTTGCAGACACAAAGCAGATTTGGAATCAGCCTTCCATGCTCTATGAGCAGGTTCAAGGTGGCGTGTGGCATGCCAGACCTGGGGGTCGTATTGAGGAATCAGGGAGGGGGGGGGGGTCGTTATCAAGGCGTCCGCTGTTCGCATAACATGATATTCCTTGACAATGTCAAATAGGCCCGTCATGCAAAATACTAGCACAGTGATGTTTGACCCATTATCGTGTAGGGCATTTGAGAAATTGTGACGATGGCGCGACCGCGCGCGACACGCACGCCACTTCCGGAATTTGCGTTTTCTTGGTTTTATCTCTAGTCGAATGGTTTTTTGCTTACATATGATAATGTTTAGACATTGGAGGTGGAGCTAAACGTTAAGGTGATGCCTTCTTGTATGAACGTTTTATGCTCCTATGGGCGCAAAGTCCGCAGTAAAATCCGTCGTCACGATTTTATAAATGAACTATACATGTACAGTAAGCATAATTAAGAACCTATAAAGCATAAGAGCATCGTTTTGTAATTAGCAAATAAAGTAACCCCTGTCGAGACGCAGACTAATTAGATGGTCTGACAGTCTCCACGCAAACTGGGCGGTGCCCAGAATCTCCAGATGAGCTGGCACTCCCCGGGTGCTCGGTGGTCCCCTCCCCATTAATGTCCCCCATTTTATGCATATATGATATAATGATAAAATCATCTCTCAGGATTTGTTCTGTTAAGAAGCAGGAAAACAAGGGTAGAGGGATCAAGTTACGAGAGTAATTAACTCGTACACTTGACACCCCTGTGTTCCAAGTTTCAGCGAATTCTGAGGTTTCCAAATACAGGATTACTCGTTTTCAAACATGTTATAGTTCATTTTTTAAAATCGTGACGACGGATTTTCCTGCGGACTTTGCGCCCACATGAGCATAAAAAGCTCATATAAGGAGGCATTACCTCAACGTTCAGCTGAGTCACTTCCGGTGTCTAAATAATTTCATATGTAAGCAAAAAACCATTCGACTAGGGATGAAAACCAAGAAAATGCGATTTTCGGAGATGGCGTGCGTGTCGCGCGCGGCCGCGCCATCGTCACGATTTTTCAAATGCCCTATACTTTGTTTTAAAGGTAAGTTAACTACTTCTTTTTGCGCTTAATACAAAAAACTACTATTTTTTTGCTCGCATTAGGAATCCTACTTCAAATGACCTTCAAATTTGGAAATTAAGAGCAAGCCAAAATCTCGTTTGTCCCATTTTTCGTTTTCAATATCTCAGGCTAGAGAAGACCAATCAGGCTTAAATCCTTTAATATAGATTACGAGCTTAGGCTATCGAATATATACATTCTTGTCGCCTACCCTTGCGATTTACATAGCAGCGCAGACTTAGCATGTTACCGTATCTCAACATTTTCGCAGTATTTTAGCAATATTTTACATTTTCATAGGTAACGAAGGAAAAACGAAGGAAAAACGGTTATATCTTGCTCTTGAAGAAACGTTTTCATATGGAATTTCTGCTTTGTAAAGGAGAAGGTCAAGCAGTAACAACGATATAAAAAACGCAGCTATTTGATCTGTTTGAAGGTAAGTTGATGGGGTGTGGCACCACCCCTAAAAAGCTGTGGCAGCCACAGCTTTCTACTCAGACAATCTCCGGGGGCAGGCGGGCACCGGAAAAATAGATTGCTGATCTCTCGCACCCCGCTCGCGGATTTTTTGCAAAGCAATCAGGACTTTTCGGAAGACCGCTTGCTGAGTTCTCGATTCCTCAAAGATTCAGCAATATATCTGCAAAAGATAAGAGCGAAAAAAAATTCAACAGGCGGTCTCTCAAAAATCCGCTGACTCAGCAAGCGGTCTTCCGAAAAGTCCTGATTGCTTTGCAAAAAATCCGCGAGCGGGGTGCGAGAAATCAGCAATCTATCCGGTGCCCGCCTGCCCCCAGCGATTGTCTGAGTAGGGGTGGTGCCACATCCCATTAACTCTATCAGAAAAACATTTTTAGCGAAAGTTATTTATATGAATCGATAGGTTAGACCTCGTAAATTTCATAGGAGTGATTTAAGCCTGATTTGTCTTCTTAGCTCTGAGTAGTATTTGGTGAAAGCACAGCCATTTGAAGCGAAAAAAGGAAAAACAAGATTTTGGCTGGCTTCTAATTCCAAAGTTAGGAGGCCTTTTGAAGCGAGATTTCTGAAGTAGCCAAAGAAAGAGTAGTGCTTTGCCTTGAGTGCAAGAAGAGCTAGCTATTTCACCTTTAAAACAAAGTTAATCCTGCTGTAAAATGGCGATTTCACTTAGGTGCCCAGTACCTTGAAATTTCTGAATTCGCTCAAACATTGTCTACAGGAGTTAACTGAATGCTAATTATCGATATGCTGCTCGTTATGTTTGACAGGGCCTTCAAGTAATGCTATCTTAGGTATATAGTTCAGGGGTCTTACTGAGACAGCAATGAGAGGAGGGGGTGTCGTAACCAACGACCTCTCGCTTGACCCTGTCTATGAGCCAGTATACATCTCATTTGGAAACTCCACTTCGACCAAGCACCGCGCGCAGCAAGAAATGTCTCAGACGGCGTGCGTTTGGTGATAGATACCCATGGTGCCAGACAAGCCCCTAAAGAAGGCGCTCGAATTGTCGCATAGAGTCTAAAGGCACCTGTGCCGCAGGCTTCAACTGTGTGAGTAGGGAGTTGGACTGCTACCTATCTATTCATTTGTGGCCAGGAAACGGAGAAGAGAAACTCAAAGAGATCGCGGTTCGCGATGCTTCGAATGGGATGATTCATGCAAGCGAAGCGCCATTGACGCGCGGTGCACGTCATTCACCCGCAATGCGCCTACTGGAAGGGCGGTGCAAGCGCTCGCGTGCTGCCGTCTGCGCCCCGCGTTCGAGTTGCTCCTCGCGGGTCCGTCAACGACAACCCTGATTGCTATGCACGAGCGGGGACGAGTTTTTTGCGAGGGAGTTTTCCTTGACAACTTCATCGACTGCTTCTCACATTCAACATTGCAGCTCTCTTTAGTTGTTAGGGTTCAGTGGAAGTTGAGATTGTGTTAAGGAATGTTAATTGATTTGTTTTCTGAGTACATGTCATTTTTTCATCTTGGAAAGTTTCCAGATGAGAAAGTCTGGAATTTCAGCCCTTTTGCATTTTTTCGTTTCCGCCGATGTTATCTCTTTCCAAAGTGCATTTTTCAGGTAGAAAATGTCCCTCGCCAGGACAACGCTGTTACCTTTGACGAGACGTGCCATCTATTCAATGATGGCTAGATCACTCAGCAGTGGACAAGGTGATTAATATAAGATCAAAATCTCTGAGTAATATAAATTATGACTTTTTAGAAGCTGATATCGTCGTCATTGGTTCGGGTCCTGGTGGGTATGTCGCTGCGATCAAAGCAGCGCAGTTGGGAATGAAGGTAAAGATTTGTTTGCATAGCAAGCGAGATCGGTTTAAGAATTTCTCCGAAAGAAAGAAAAAGTGCTATTATCGAGCTTTTTTGCTTTCTTTTCAATTCTTATTAGCTGTTTGAGCTTATTTTCTTAAGCGCTTGCATGTGGGCTGAGTTCGCTATCGATTTGTTGAGTCATAATGTTAATGATGTGCTCGACTTTATTATCCATAAATTATCTCGTTCTCAAAATGTAATGTCTACCTTTTTCAGACAATATGTGTAGAGAAATATCCGACTCTTGGAGGTACTTGTCTCAATGTAGGATGTATTCCGTCAAAATCGTTGCTTAACAACTCGCATCTTTATCACCAATCTCAGCATGATTTTGCTAATAGAGGTACAGGAAACTTCTAACTATAAATCTTACTAATCAAAGTGTTCATCGATTTAGGTATTGAGTGTCAATCCAGCTTGAACCTTGATAAAATGATGGAAGCAAAAAGAGCCAGTGTAAAGGCGTTGACCGGAGGTTCGCTTTTTTTTCTTTTTTTTGCACCTTTTTTTCTGCTAAAGCGTGTGTCGGTGTTTGCTTCTTTTTTGGTGGGAGAAAAAAAAGTGTGTGATTAGGTGATGGCTGTGTCAATGTCGAGATGGCGAATGTAAATATTTGTGTAATGTTGTGGTTGTTCATCTGAGAAACGCATTTTTCAATCTGTATCTTTAGCAAAAAGCTTTTCTTACAAAATAATTTTAGGTGTTGCTACACTTTTCAAAGCGAACAAAGTCACTCAGATCCAAGGAGTGGGAACTATCACCAGCCCTAATCAGGTGATTTTGACGATTTTCTTCGTTTTTCAACTACTATAGCTCTGAGTTCTCTTCTAAGCGATAACGCACGTGCAGTGCCACACTTTCGATTTTCTCCTCATGTGCTCTGCGTGCTTTTTCATGCCTTTTCGCATAGTGCTTTTTTCTACATTGTGAAGGGATTGATCGGAAGGCCATCGTTTCTGTGATATTGCACATTTCATCGGATTCCGCATGGCTTTGTCATAAACCACGCATATTGAAGCAATCGATCAGAAATGTGACACGTCAACGCCTTTCCGTTCAGGTGCAAGTGAAGAAACCTGATGGGTCAACAGAGACTCTGAACACTCGTAATATCCTCATTGCAACAGGGTCAGACGTCACACCTTTTCCCGGTATTCCAATAGATGAAGAACAGGTGTGCAATCCGGAAATGCTGAATTTGAGATTAAGATTTTACTACGTTTGTCGGTTACAGATTATCTCTTCGACCGGCGCACTGTCGCTCAAGGCAGTACCAAAGAAAATGGTCGTGATCGGAGCGGGTGTGATTGGGCTTGAACTGGTATGTATCTTTTTGTCATTCCTATTCATTCCTATTTTTGCATTCTCTTCTACTGATGCAGTGACTTTTTTTGGTTTGAGCTTTTTCCTTTTTAGTTGAAATACATTTTTGTTCGTGTTCCATCAGTTCAAGCCGTATTTCCGTGTTTGAGTCCGATCGAGCTAAAGAGACGCTTGCTCTTGCCGAGATGAGCGTCGTATCCGTTATAAAGCTGTTACTGCATTAAAAACGTATCCGATAATCAAAAGTATACCTGGGGACGAGTGGCGTATGGTACGAGACCCCCCCCCCACTAGTGGGCTTTGAGATTCTCTCCCTGTACGAAGCTTCTGTAGTCCGACATGGTAGATTGGTGCCGATTTAGTAGAATTAGAGCACTGATTTGAGTTGCTGGTTGGCCTCCACAAGTCATTGTAGGTAGGGATGGGCGCATTCCTTGAAACTGCAAGGAAAAGTAGATGTACATCAGCTGGAAGATCTTGAAGAACTCTTTTAGGTAATATCTGGAAAACTCGCAGTATTGACGATTTAAGGCCTTACTGTTCAAAATGCCTGAAGACGGGATGCACGCTTTGAAGTCTTGAGGCGGAAATTATATCGCAAAAGCATGCAAGATTGAACTGAGTTCTAACGTCTCCAAGCTCTTGAGGGATTTCTGCTAGAATACATAAATTCTATCCTGTTGTAGTCTTCCGCAAGCTACATTATTTGGAAATTGAAAATTCAAGATTTTACCGGAACACATCCATCATCTTTACCCTATATTTTCTTCTAAGCATAGCTTTCTCTTCTATATGCTGAAGCTAGTTCCATTATGAGGTTTTTTAGGGATCTGTATGGAAACGACTAGGAGCAGAAGTTACAGCAGTGGAGTTCCTTGGACACATTGGTGGAATGGGTATTGATATGGAAGTTGCAAAGACATTCCAGCGAATACTGGCAAAACAAGGCATGAAGTTCTTACTAAACACGAAGGTAACTAAGAGTGTTTTTATTGCTGTAGCTTCTATGCGATGAAGTTGCATATTTCCGATCCTTAGGTTATGGGAGCTAACAAAAGTGGTGGAAATATCACCGTCGATATCGAAGGAAAGGATGGGAAGAAGCAAACGGTGAGTTTTGAAGTTCATAATACGTCTTGAATCATTGTGACCTTCAAAAATCCACAAAGCTAAAGCCTTTTTTTGCTGGGCCTAAGTTCAATCAATGCTCGCTTAAATTTCTTTCAATGAGTATATTTTATGCAGCCTCAGCTACTTGATTTTCTTTTCCACCTTTTCAAAGAGTGACTCTTACAGCTTGATTGCGACACCCTGTTGGTAAGCATTGGGCGACAACCATATACGAAAGACCTAGGAGTGGAGAATGTAGGCATCGCTTTGGATGAGAGGGGACGAGTACCAGTCAATGAGCGATTCCAAACACAAGTGCGCATACTGCTTTGCTTTTGTCAACAGTAATTTCACTGTGAGGTTGTTCTTTAGGTTCCATCCATCTATGCCATTGGAGATGTTATAGCAGGACCTATGCTTGCCCATAAGGCTGAAGATGAAGGTAACTCATAGTTGTTTTTCGTTCGTGGAAAAAGCTATTAACTTAATTTTTTAGGCATTTTGTGCGTGGAAGGAATCTGTGGAGGACCTGTGCATCTCGACTACAACTGCATTCCATCTGTAATCTACACACATCCAGAAGTAGCCTGGGTCGGAAAACCGGAAGAGCAGCTAAAGGAAGAAGTGAGTGATAGACTTGGCGTCTTGAATTTCTTTCCTTTCAATTTCAAGTTTCTTTACTTTCTTCCGAATTGTTGTGAGAATGGGGTAGTATTCACATACATGTTCCTTGTACGTTCAAAGCAGCTACCTTAATTTTCCAGGGCATCCAATTCAAAATAGGAAAATTCCCGTTCATTGCAAACTCTCGTGCGAAGACCAATTTCGATACTGAAGGATTTGTGAAAATATTAGCCGATAAGCAGACAGACAGGATGTTAGGAGTACATATAATAGGACCGGTAAGTAGATGAATGTTCTTTCTTGTTGGATTTTTGAATAATTGAATGCTTAGAATGCTGGTGAAATGATCGCTGAAGCTACTCTCGCCCTTGAATATGGAGCATCTGCAGAAGACGTAGCCAGAGTCTGTCATCCACATCCGGTAAGTCCTTCTGTCTATCGCTTTTTTAGAATGCGGACCTTGTGCACGACAGTTCCGTAACTTTTGAAGTATGAATATCTGTTCAAGACGACCATTTTGTTTGCATCCGTTTCCGAAAAAAAAAAACAAAGAATGCAAGAATGCGGCTTTATGCGAAATCAACGCAGAGAGCTAACATATGATTGAAAGAAAGAACTCCCATCTTGTATTCGAATTTTTAGACACTATCCGAAGCATTCCGTGAAGCAAACCTACATGCATTCTTTGGAAAGTCAATCAACAGCATTTAGAAACTCAGCTTTTTTTGTTGAATTTTGGTTTCTTTTCATTTTCTCAATTGGTGAACGTGCTTGTATTCCGGGAGAATAGTCTTTAATTTTTCACGTGTGTTGTATTGTGCATTCATGACGACCTGTGACTCTTTTTGATTTCTTGGAGTTTATCTTTGTGCTTTTGTCAAATCCGAGTGCTAGAAAGTAACTTAAATAGCATAGCTAGGCTGTAGTTTTACGTTAGATTGACGAGGTAGTTTACTTAATAAATATTGTTCTCAGTTATGTTGGGTTGGTTTATGAATGGGCCTCGGATTCTACTTTCCCCTAGACCATAGCTCAGTTTCATTCTCAAAGATTATCTCACTCACAGTTTTTCTGGGCCGAGTCTAAACTAAATCTGATACTTTTCTAACTTTATTAAGAAGAACTTGCTTTTTCGGAATGTCGTTATGCTTTGTGCACATTTTCGGTAAAAGGAGTGCATCGATTGATGCCGAATCGATGCATGGCAAATTATACAATGTGTCCCCCAATCAGGCCAGAAATGGCATAATGCGCATCTGTTTCCGGTTACATTCATAGCGCTGCAGCGTCGCAATTTCACGACTACAATTCAGCGTGTATATAGAGGACTATATGTCGCCAGAAGGGGTCGGCTCCGCGGTCATTCGAAACGAATACGCATCTTGGCACATGCATGGAGATGCGTTTTTGCAAGACGTTCGCGCGGGAACCACCCAAATTCGGCGTAGTCCTCCACCCCATTTCAGCTACATTACGATTGGAGTAGATTGTAGGTCCTTCACAAATCGTCACCGAGATAACTGCGACGTTTTCCTTTCATAGCAGGACTTCAAACTGCCGAAACAAAAAGCACGTTAGTGTTTCTTCAATCACTTCAAGTATCAAAAAGGTGGCGTATAAAAGCAAGAAAAACGATCAAAAACACGAAACCCAGAAATTCATTCATGGGTTTATGGCCAGCATCGCGGCTGCCAAGCGTTGGAAAATACTCAGAGTACGTCCGCGAACCGCTGCAATGCTCGAGCGAGGCGGCCGCGAAAGCGCCAGGCGCGGGGGCTCTGACACTGTCATTGAGATAACTATCATCGCTTATAATCGCAGATGCGTCTGAATATGATGGCAGGTTCAGCTTGTGATGAGCATTGAGAATTGAACAGGGTACGTTCAGATTCGGTGTGAACTGCCTCAAGTTCCTTCAGTTATAGTAACGTTGTTCTGAAGGCCAAAGGTTTTTTTCAGGCGAAGAAGCTGTTATAAAGCCGAACTATGGGAGGTTTTACTTTAGTTTCTTAGTATCACTTGTCCACGGGTACTGTTATGACTGAATCGCGAACGCGCCCAGCATGAAAGTATTGTTCAGTCATTACTATCTCCATTTCTTAATGCAAATGTAAAATTTTGTTATTCTGCGTGTAAGCCACTCTAGTTTGTCTCCGCTGCCCTTTTTACTCTTCCAAATACCTAAAAATGGAGTCGCAATGCAATGCCACCTTCTACAGATAACAAAAAACATTAGGTCAGAGATTTTCACGATTCGGTTATTTATTTATTTATTTATTTATTTAAATGCACTTAGAAGTGCGCCAAAAAAGAGCAGAAAGCACAGCAGGTAACCAATCGACCACACACCCAGTACAGTAGCAGGGGAAAAGCCAGACGCGTATGTATGTATGTATGTATGAAGCAATTTCCCTCAGACATGGAGCATGTGGTCCATGAACGTCAAATTCTCCAAGAAAACTCTCAAGTCAATTTCAGGACGACGATCCTAGCGGTGTGTGGTCGGCCAGAAAATTGGGGTTAGTGACAGGAAAAAAACTAAAACGTAAATAATGATATATATCGAATGTTAGTAACACCACACTTTACAAACAAACAAAAAACTATGTGGAATTATGTGTCGTGTTGGAGGACGAATGAAAACCCTTAACTTGTAATAGGTCAACTTGCGCTATTTTACATTAAAAGCAGCTGATTCAACAGATGATAACATCGAAAGTGGAAGCCTGCTAAGCCATCTAGGTGTTCTGTAAAAAAGAATATTAAATGTTCGTAGAAAGCGTTTCCTAGAAATACGTGGGTAATGAATGTTAAACCCACCCGTCCTACTACTAGGTCTGAAAATCCAGTACTTATTTGCGCTAAGCCTAATTTCTTTACGAAGGAGGCGAAAAGCGAAAATAAGATCTAGGTAAGTTCGTCTAAGTTCCAGACTCTTCATTGCCAAAGACTTGAGGCGTTCTTCATATTTAGACATTTCATCGAAAGCTAATCTTTTACGACATCTCAGAAACAAAATGCGATTAAATGTTTGTTGAACTTTTTCTAACCTCAAATTGTCTCTTTTTGAAAAAGGATTCCAATCACAGAACAGTATTCGAGGTGAGGCAAAACGTACGCTTTATATAAACGCTTCAATATCGGTTGTCGGTATGAACAGATCGGAGGATAGAAAAAAGAACTGAGTATGCTCTATTAACTACGTTGTCAATGTGATGCGAGAACTTCAAGTCATTATCTATTAGAACTCCTAAGTCCTTAGCAATGAAACAGTTCTTCAACACCGTTCCACTTATCTCATGAACAGGATTCTCGTTATCACCTAAATGCATGACAAAACATTTATACAAATTTACTGGGATGCCAGAGAATGATGCCCACTCTATCATTCTTTCCAGGGAATGCTCTATTGCAGATCTAACTTCATCACGATTTTTCGCGCTATAGCTCCCGTAGATCTTAATATCGTCCGCATACATTTGAATTTTTATATGCTCGGATGTTCTCAAGATCGACGGGAGATCAGCGGTATAAACCAGAAAAAGTAATGGAGAAAGAACTGCTTCTTGTGGAACACCATTAACACAAGCTTGTCTATCCGAGCAATAGTGCCCTACCTTGACTGTCATGGCTCTATTACACAGATACGATTCAAACCATTTCAAATGGTTACCACTCACACCGATTTGCTCCAGTTTCCACACAAGTTCTTATGATCAACTCGATCAAATGCTTTCGAAAGGTCTATATAAACAATGTCTACTGATTCACCTCTGTTCAAAGCGAGAGTCCAATCAAAAACTGAGTCAGCAAGGTTGGTGGCTGTGGAAGACCCTGCCATGAAACCATGCTGACTGGGTGGAATAGTTTTGGTTTTTTCAAGCCATGTAAGTAGCTTATCCCGCAGAACCTTCTCCATTACTTTTACTGCTGTTGGAGTCAAACTGATGGGGCGAAAATCAGTCAGAAGAGACGCATCAGGAACTTTGGGAATTGCCGTTACTAACGCTTCTTTCCATATCTGTGGAACCTCGCCTAACATCATTCTTGAAAAGAACCTGCGGTATCCCGTCTGAAGCAATGGTGATAAACGGGAGTGGGTGTGAAGAAGTCCATCTCGGAAATACGAGTACTCGAATTGAATACACTGGCAAAGTGCAGCGCTAGAGCTTCAGCTTTTTCGCAATCTGTGACAAATGTTTGACCCATTCGACCAGTTATGGATGGCAGACGACGATTACGTTTGATTTTGTCGTTAATATATTGAAAAAAGAATCTAGATGAGGATTTCATAGAAAGCCTTCGCTCGTATTTGGACAAGAGTTTTTCCAGATGAATCTCAACATCACGACACACTTTTTTATACATGGGGCTAGATAATGGACTTGCCAAAGAATAGAATAGGCGTTCTTTCTGTGCGAAAAGATTTTGGATGTGCATCGGGTATCTCATCTGAGCCTGGGTAGCAGGCTTGAAAGGCACAAAAATCGACAAAGCATTATATTATATATTACCAAACAAAATCTGTAGTAAACGTCGTCAGTCGATTCATACTGGTCAAACAGATTCAACAAATCAACTGCGGCAAGATGGGCATTGAGAGAAACAAAATCAACCCTCCGAAAATCGGGTCTAGGTAGAGAGAGCGCAAGAGGGATACTTTTCTTTATAATGGAATGTACTGCTTTATGATCAGAGTTTGCAAGGGGAGCAGTAGTGCGAACACCAGAGATGATAGGGCTAGTGGAAAAGACAAGATCCAAAACATGGGATAAATGGGTTGCCTCCATAACATGTTGCGTCAAATTCGAGAAACGAAAAAATTCAAGGAAAGTAGACGAAATCTTGTTTAGAGGCGTTACTCTGCTCCAATCAATTTGTAAATTAAAGTCACCCAAAAGAATGTTGTGTTCATACTCATTGGTGAGATGACACATCAATTCGATGAGGTGTTCATCACTTTCAAGGGTACTATTGGGAGGTCGATAAACCGCAAGAAAACGCAAGAATGTAGGTTCACTAGAAAGCGACATGTCAATACCGAGAATATTCGACATAGTGCTACTATCCGAAAAAGTTGATTTAATCAGAAGAGTGCTTCTCAATAGGCAACAGACACCTCCGCCTCTACGGTTATGTCTATCTGAACGAGAAACAAGATACGGTAAGTTCCCTACTATTTCGCTATCATTGACTTTGCTTGTCAGCCAGCTTTCAGTAATAAAAAGGATATCGGGTTTATATTGATTTAAAAAACTTTGTAAATGATGGAGTTTTTTCAACAAACTTCTTGCATTCAAAAGGCAAACCTTAATTCCGTCTTGAGCACCATGCGGGACTATGCGTTTTCCGACCTTGGCCTACTCAACTCCGATGCTCGCACCAACTCGCCCCTATAAACCACCCATTCACGGGTAGGTTTATTTTTATTTCTTCACGCGCCATTTTCCTCAGTTCGTACTCATGCTTACGCTCGTCCTCCGTCATGCTTTTCCGTATATATACGTTTGGAAAAACATGACGGAGGAAACGAGCGTTAGCCAGCGCCCTCCTCCAGTAAAAACTGGAGGGCATTACGACTTTAATAAGGCGCTGATGCGAGTCGCTCGCTCGAGCGCTTCTCAGCCTCGAGTGTTGCGGATAGCCCTGCAGAAATTTTTTCAGATAATGCACAAGCATTCTCTGAATAGTGGGGTCCTTATTTAATGCAGAAATAGACGCTATTACCTGCACGGACATCCTACTCTAATCATCTCCCTGGGTCCCTGCATCATTGCTGGTTTCACCCCCTTGTGCAGGTGCTAAAGTTTGCGATGCTCCTTTTGATCCCTGAACTTTTTGCGAACGTGTACGAGAGACATCGTTTGATCTACAATATTCAATACCAGGACAGGACAACCAAAAAATAAAGCCTAACCAGCCGAAGGGGAAACCGGCAATGAAAAATACGATAAACCGAAAAACAGAAACCGAAATAG